GCGTGGCTCAAGTATATCAGTAGATCAGCATATGTTTTATGCGCATGAGCTAGCGCTCTTTCCTTGAATCGGGCAGGTGACGGGGCCCCTCCGGTTGGAGTACTCGGGCCTAGGGATAGAGATTCCATGCGACGATGAGGAGATTGCAACATTGGGGAAATCTGGTGTTGATGAGAAAAGCCGTCGTCTAAGGAATACGCCGACATGGGCATACGGAAGGGGTGGCCATGTCCAAATGAATGCCCTCCCAACGCCCCCTGGTGCAGAGGTGCTTGAACTGATGCGAACGCACTCTCGTATGGATTATTATGAGGAACATAGCCCGTCGAAGCCAAGGACCCAGGAGAGAGGCCTGCATCACCCCACATAAGAGACGGGCTGAAGCCTCCTGGGGAGAAGATCGGGAAGTCTCCTGGCTGCTGGTAGCCGTGACCAAGGCTCGTTTGCATTCTCATTGCGTGATTGTATGTATGTTGCGGGAAGGTCTGCAAGAGTGCCGTCTGTTCCATCAGAGATGGATCTGATCCGAAGCTAGTATCCTTGCCATGACCCCATCCTCCGAACGCTGGATGTTGTTGATCAGGTGTCCCAAATCCGTCTCCGCCAGCGCTGTTCGGCGACGAGGAAGGATATAACCAGGAGCCATTCGATGCTGTCATTTGCTGACCATTGCTTGATGACTGTGAGCCATGCTGGACAACAGCCGTGGGGAAAATCTTTCTCGAGGCGGGTAAGATCATGTGCTTGAGCGGCGGTGGTCCGGCCGCAAGTTGAGTCGGGGTTCCATCATATCCAGCATCGATAGTCCCGTTGGGTGTCTTTCGACGTAGTCTATGTTCTGTATGTTCGGATGCATGATGAGAGATGGAGGCAGTGATGCGATGTTGAACGGACTGGGCGGCAGGCTGGGAGGACCGGATGGGGAACGCCCGCAAGGGGCTGTCACCACCGCTCTGATACGAATGTGCCACTCTCGTCGGTCGAGAGGGATAGTGAATCGGTAAGTAGTCGCTAGGTTTGAGGTGATTTTGAAAGGAGGTGAGAGGGTCGAGATGTGGAGGAGTCTGCACCATCTGGTGCATCTGCACGAGGGGCAACATTACAACAGCACCCAGGCAAAAACAGAGAACAGCCGCTCGCAATCAAAAGTCAGTCATAAACCGTAAGGAACGACGGTCCGGCAGCAGCCAGCGGCCAGAACCGAGAAAACCACGAGTGATGCAATCAGAATACCGTCGTCATAGCCTGCTGGTCAAAGCATGGCCGACGAGGATCCTGATGGGGCATCTGGGCTGGGAGAGGCGGGACTCAGCCAACGCCGAATAAGCCCAGGCCCCCGCGAAGGCTCAGGCTCACCGCAGTTGCTGACTGTCGACTGGCTCGCGGATGACGTTCAACGACGGCGGCCCCGGGATGGTTGTCTTTGTCGGCTGGTTGGTCTTTTGCGAAAGAAGGCAGAGATGACTGAAAAAGTCGAGGTTGAGCGTTGGAAGGGCCGAGGGCGACGACGACGAAGACGAAGATGATGAAGGTGGGGGATGTGGATATCGGATCGGTGCGGATGGTGCAGATGTGTAGGTTTGGTTTTGATTTAACGTTGGGTGGGAGTGGTAGCGGCAGAATTAGATAGAGTAGCGGTCGCACGGTAGTAGCAGTAACAAGCTAACCACCCTGTCGAGCCTGTATAGTGCTGTAAAGCAGAGCCCTGCCTAGCGCTTGCCCACCTGCTGGGTAGTGCTGGGTAGTGGGTAGTGGGTGGGAGCGGTAACAGGTTTAGTTAGATTGGACTGGCTTGGATTGGCCCGCCAAATGTGGATTTGGATTTGGGGGAAGGTTGATCATTGAAGGCATGCGTGTGTATGGTGTGGGTGAAAGAAAAGAGGTTTGTCGCGTTGGGGACAAGTTGTTGGCGGGATGCCAAATCCACACACAAGGTACACACACACACACACACACTCTCTCTCTCTCTCTCTCTCACACACACACAAGGACATGCATCCAGTCGAGCCAGGCAAGCAGCACACCCACTTCCACAGCTTATTAACAATAGACCGCAGCCGGTTGTCGTGCAGGTATTAGGTAGAGAGATAGAGAAAAGATGGATAGATGCGACTATAGGTGGTCAGAGCTGACTAGGCCAGACCAGTCCAGCTCAACATGGGATTCAATGTGAAAGTGATATTGTCTGTTCACAGGAGGCTTGTGACAGGTCGGAGACCATAAGCCAGCAACAAGATAATAATGAGAGACGGCAGAACCGACACGGGAATGTCAGTCAGCCAGCTTGTCGTAGCTGTCGTCATTCAGTCATCTACTCAGTCAGTCAGTCAGTCAGTCAGTGAGGAGTCAGCTTCTGGAGTTTCTTGCCCTGCTTTAGCCCGGGATTCGATAGCAAAGTTCTGACAGGTCTTGTGCTGGAGACAAGAGTCGGGCGAAGTGAGTGCTTTGTCCTTAGAGGAGACCTGCAAGTGACCGCAACTTCAGGTGGCTGATCCTGCCAGAAGCTGCCAAGTCGGGGCATTGGGTTGGGGATAAAGCCGTTTTACTCAGGTACCTTGCATGTAGTTTGTCGTCTGGTCTGGTCTAGTCTAGTCGTACTCTAATCCACCCAAGAGTCACTGTCTTAAAATGCTGCCTTGCGGTGTGAGAAAACTGAAAAGAAAGCCTATCACTTCGCCTGTGCGCTCAGGCACTGTCTAAGATGAAGTAAGGTAGGGTAAGCTATGAGAGGTCCAGCTAGGCACGGCGGGCGAATCTTGATGCCGTGGAACTAGAAATGTATCAATTGCGCGGCTGCGAGGTGTTGAGGCGTGTTTCGATGTGTTGTATTGTATGCACTGCTTAACTTTTGCTGCCAGGTTGGAAATCCTCCAGATCTGCTTGCTTCTAAGTTTGGCACCTCCAAGTGGAATTGAAGAGCGAGTTGAAGTGAGGGGATAAGGAAGGTACGATGCATTCTCCCAGGGTCTTCCTGCCTTACATTAACGTTGAGCCGACAGGAAGAGGCTGAGTCTGAGCCTGGGCAGCCAGCTCAGGGTCCCCATCGCGACTGCCATTCTCAAGACTACGCAGTAGGTACAATACCTACCTTAGCATACCTACTGTACCATCCCACATTTTCATCCAAGGTAATTTCCTCTTTAATGTCTCTCCCACACATGGCAGGCACGCCCGGGCATTCTTGCTGCCCTTTCCCCCTTCCAAATGTCTCTCCCCAGCTGCAGCTGCCAGGAACTGGAATGAAACTTGAATGTCTGATTACACCGTAAACCTTTCGGCCTTGATACCCACATTAGATGCCCATCGGCGTCCAGGGTGTCACTGGCTAGCGCTACGGCAACGTTTTTAGAGGGGCCGAGCGGCCGAGGGTGGTGGGCTGCAGGGCGTTGGTGGGCGTGGTGGGTGCAGAAAAAGGCAGGGCCAAGGAGGGGTCCCCTACAGCTGGGTGCTTTAAGTGCTGCTTACCTAGCAAAGCTAGGTAGCTCCATGGTGGTTGACCTGTTGGTGGGTGGCCCCAGGTGTGATGGCCCGCACTAGGCGTCCCAGGCTTCCCAGGACCAGACCAGTAACCGCCCCGGCTGCAGCCCACCCAGCCAGCCAGCCAGCCCGCAGCGGACTTAACCCAGTCCAACCTTCAAGCCGTCCGCCATCCGCCCCTCTCCCCCCTGCTGACTGAATGAGGCATCCTTGGCGGTCCTAAGTATGGGGGATCTACAACACTCCACGACGTAGAACCACGTCTCTACGCGCCGATTTGCACGCTCCATCACACCTGAATTGTACGATAATGCAAGGTAAGGTAGGGAGCTGCGCTTTGCGGGACCACTGTCCTGCATCTTCGTTCATACCCGGAGCGGCAGAGCAGAGTATGTGAGCTTAGGGCGCTGATGAGACATTGGCAGCTCTTCCGGGTTTCTGCTAAATTTGGCTTTGTCGCTGTGTCTTATTCAATATCTGAATGCTGGTATAACCCAGCTCCCTCCTCTCCTCTACTCTCCCAGGCCGTCTCCCTCCGACAGCTGTTGCCTTACATCATTCGTCCCGTCTCGATCCGCTTTACCCTTCATGCGGATGGGTGCCCAGTGGGTACATAAAACCAAGGCCACGGCAGTCTCAAACCATCTATCAAACCATGGCTGGCTGGGGTTCACCCTGTACGGGGAGAGCAGTCATCCATCGTCCGCGTCATCTGCAGCTTGCCCTGATAGGTAGCGATGGACGCTTGGATGGACCGGACACCATATAGTCTGCACTTGTACGACCTATCTACCTTACCCACCGTCGTTCTGCCGTCTGGGGAGGCCAGGATGTTGACCTGGCCATGTCGCTGCTCTGCTCAGCCCTAGGGTCTCCGGTGGGAGGCTTTATTGAAAGCCACTCGGCTCAGTACTACTGTTGCATGTGGTGATTCCTCAAGACACGTTTTGGCAAACAGTGGATGCAGCCTTGCATATCAGTCACATCCCGGGGAAGCCACTACGAATGAGGTTTCCGGAAGATCTCCGTTAATCCTAGATGGCCAAATGTGGTGGCTTACGATTCGTCACTCTCTCCGGGACAACTGCTTCCCCTTTTCAGAAGGGTCACCCTTACCTTGTTGTGAGTTTGATTGGAGGTACTCTCTGATATAGCGTAACCAAAGGTAGCTTGATAAGACGGGCATGTTGACCTCGAAAATGGACCTCAACCTCCACTGGCTCGAGAGCCAAGAAAGCCGCGGTGAGTATAGGGACAAATTCCTCTTCCTAGGCACCAAAATTGAAATAGACCATGGGGCGCTTGGTTCATATTTCAGAGTGTAGGCCAGGTGTTTCTCGTCGACGACTTGAACATGTCTTGGGGCAGAAGAAAAAGGTCAGTAGGTTTTCACACGAATGTGGTCGTCAAGACTTCGGCGAAATTTCTTTTTGATTTGCCGTTCATGGCAAGCCTATTTTAAGCCAGCCCAAAACTCCTGATGACATGCCAGAGAATCCCAAACCGCCCTCACCACAGGAACTTTACTCTTCGGGAACTGTAAATCATGGTCAGCCTTTCTGCTCTGCAGCTTGCAAACTGTCAGGTCACCTACTGTCAATCTCTCCAGCCTCAATCGCCTCGGTGATCGCCTTCGGGCTCTTTCCGTCTACCTGGCAGCCAACGCTGAATGCAGTTCCCAGAATCTCCTTGACGGTTCCCTCCAGAGTCTTAGAGAAGGACTTGAACTTCATCGTTCTCGCAATGTCGATAACCTCGTCGAGTGTGATGGACTTGCTGTGCTTGATGTTCTTCTCCTTCTTTCGGTCACGGGGGGGCTCCTTTAGTGCCTTGATGACGAGAGATGAGGCAGTCGGCACGACAGAGACGGCGGCTTGACGGTTTTGGATGGTGAGCTTCACTGTGACGCGGAGACCTTTCTGTATGCCCAATTCTCGTAAGCTTTCTAGTTCCATTTATCCCACAGTCATCAGGTTGGAAAGTCGTACCCAGTCACCAGTCGCCTTGGCGATATCTTCACCGACCTTCTTCGGGGAGAGACCGAGAGGACCAATCTTGGGGGCGAGGGCAGATGAAGCACCGACTTCACCACCAGTGGCTCGCAAGGTACTATTTCCATCATGTTAATCGCGATGCTCGAATGGGCGCCAGTCCGGCCGCAGGTGCAATGCGTCGGGAGGAGGAGGGGCGGAGGGCAATCGTTTCGTACATCACCTTGACCTCATTGGGATCGAACTTGGGAGCTGCACGACCTCAGTTAGCGATTGATAGAACAGTGTATAGTCTGTGACAGTATACTCACGCATCTTGACGGCGGTTTGGGTTTTCTGTGTGGTGTCGATGCGGTACGTAAAGGTGAAGCCGTCGCAAGATTCCAGCCAGCGAAAAATGCGGGATTGTGGGAGGCGTGCCCTAAGGGAAAAAATTGGCGGCGAAACAAATTGAGCGAGGCCGGGATCCACTAGCAAAACTGGAAGATTGGAAGGAAATTCCTGGTCCGTGCGCCCACCAGCCACAGCAGCCACAGGCGCTTAAGGACTCTCACAACGAGCGAAGAAGCTAGCACGTAAATAGCATAGACAAGTTTAGATGCTTACAATGAGGTATTCACTAAAAGAGACGTCACTCTGAGTTCACGGAGGTAGAATTTGGTAAGAGATTCGATTTCTTGCGATGGGGAAGGCTATATCATTTCATAACTCAATACAAAGTACGCCCAGATCCGCAGTCACGCCGTCCGAAGCGATGCTACAACCCCGACCTAGTCTAGCTTGTTCCACTCACAGCCAATCTATAGGCATATGTTAGCAACCTGATAGCTCCAAAGGGGAGCTGACCGGGAAGAACCTACTTCATTAAGTGATCCATGAATGTCTGCAGTGACACATCATCCGTGAAGATAGTCTGAGCAGTCTGGGCTCCGACTCCGCCATACGCACCCGTAGTGTGTGTAGTCGAGGGGTTCAGCTTGGAAAGCAGGAATCGAGCTTGAGATCCACCTGCATCGCAGACAATGAAACGTGGCAGAGGAAATCGATCAGTAATAAGATCCTATAAACACATGAGTACATTATCATATATGCATAATGTGAGGATGACTTACTCTGGCGTCCTCTTTGGGTTGCTCAAGTAGCGACGCAAAGTTCTCGTAACCCTCTTGCTCCTGATAACCCGCCTTTCTCCACTCAGCAACGGTCTCGCCGTGGAAAATGAGAATGTGGAAGAAGGTATCGAGAAGCAGGATGTGAGTTGGCTGGATAGAGGTCGAATCAAGCAGGACGGGCTGACCGCCTTCCTGATCAAAAGTGTATGAGTCCAAGGTAGGTTGTATCATGATCAGCGAGTTGCTGACATCCTCGTGGTTTAAGACGTGGCGATAGAAGGCAGTCTCATCGGGAGAATTGTTGAAGACTTGCAAGAACTGACTTCTCCGAAGGTGGAACATAAACTGAGGGTAAAGAGTGAAGTTCTTCTCCAGACGGAATGAGGACGGATCATCCTTCCGGTAGTCCGCGAATCTTGAACATAGCCTGATGAGCATCCTATCAACCCAGCGCAACACATCTGGACCATCATCAACCTCCGCTTTGAACACTGCGATTCGCGACATGAGAACCGCAGCAGCTTCCTGGTCGAAAGACTGAGCGATAGCCGGGTCACCAGCCGGACCGCTGAGGTTTCTGGCAATCGTAGTTACGCGGAGATGGAATTGGCCAGATGAGTGCTGATAATAAGTGAGAAACTGCATCATTCCCTTTTGGGGGGTCTGCTGATGCTGAGACGGCCCGCCCTGGCTGGCGATTTCGAAATAGATACCATAGCTGGCACTAGGGTCAATGCCACACATCTTCCAAGAGCATGTGTTGCCAATACCACATTCGGTCTCGCCTACCGACGTCGACTTCTTATTAAGGGAGACAGCATGGCCAATCAACCCTGTTACCTTTAGTTCCTTGGTGGTAAGAACTTCCAGAACAGCGTTGAAGCCCATGAGCAGATTGTCATCCTCATCCTTCTCGAAAACACGAACAAATGACTGCTTGAACATAGATGATGTGAAACTATCCGTCAGGATCATGTGGCCGCCGGTGGAATTGCACAGACCCTTCATCTCAAGAAGACCAACTTGATCCAAGCAACCAGCGAAAATATCTATGATGTGACCGTTATGAGCAGTCCTCTTTGCAAGGTTGTCGTAGAACTTCAGCGCTTTCTTGTAATACTTGATGTTGTCTCTGTCGATGTCGTGGTGAGATCGCATGGGTTCTCTCAGCTCAGGACCAACAACCATTCCAGGCCCCTCAGTTGCCGGACCTCCAGCGAAGAGCATAATGCGGCCTCCGGCGTTCTGGAAGGAGGACTCAAGGAGACCAACGGCAACGCTCAAAGCTACACCAGTGCATCGCAGGTTTCTCCGGTCGTTGGCAACAGGCCATGGATCCTTCTGAAGTTGCTCCAGAGCCTTAGTTAGCTGGAACTCGCATTGTTCGATGGGAAGGAGGAAGCGGGCTGCCGGACCCATGGGCATTGGCCGGCCAGGCATGGGCTGCATGCCAGGTCGCAGAGCAGGTTGGGTGAGTCCAAGCATCTCCTGGACCTGCTTGGCAGAGTATTCTTTGCTACCACGGAAAACATATGACTTGGCGCACTCAGTGTAACCGATCTCATGAACTTGTGCCTACGAATGAGAATTAGTATACCTAGCCAGCCACAAAACTTAACAAAGATCGTGGAGCATACCATAGTGCCATAGGTGATCAGTCCGACAAGAGCATTGGCCGGCAGGAGGCTCAGGCTCATGACCAGAGACTCCTTGAGAGCAGTCAAGCTGTCTTCCTCCTGGCAAGTGTCCACGACATAGAGGAAAATAGGAGGGCTTGGGGCGGGTCGCGAAAGTCGGTACTCGATGGTGGTATTCGATGGGTGCAGCTCGGGCGGGATCGCATTGGCAGTGATGTCCTTGTAATGGGGAGGAAGAGGGTTCCTAGAGAGGCAGAAAGGGCAAATCCATAGCCTCGCGCGGACATCGACCTGGCTAAAGAGGTGTTAGCAGGTAACACATTGGCTTAGGGTCGCCTTCGTGCTCACCAGAAGGGGTTCAATACTGAACGGCAAGGCTGCTTGCAAGTGACAGGCTCGAACTGGAGGAGCGGCGTGTCGGGCTTCTCCTTCAGCGGGGTGTAGAGAGCTCCGATGGGCACGACCAGGCGGGAAGCTTCCTAGGCGGGATATCAACACGCTGCCCAGCTCGAAATTCCATCAGGAGGGGAACAAACCATGCGCGAGCTTGGGAAGACGTTCCAGCTGAGGCGGACGCCATCGCGATCCTCTACCTCGCTCCACTGCTCCTTCAAAGCCTCGTAATCCATTGTTGCGGTTGTCGTCTGGACAGCTCACCGCGATGTCTCGTGTTTGGGACAGTGCAGAAGGCTGAGACCGAAAATGTCGGGAAGTAGATGGGAAGAGAAAGACGGATGTTGCTGAGGAACGATCTAAGTCTGAGATTACTCCCTGCATGCAAGCATCACCCAGGAGGCGGCCACTGGTGGACAATGGTCGAGCGAGGAAGATGTGGCCAACTTCCAATATCAAGCTAAGCTGCCCCTCGAAAAGGACAAGTTCCACCCAGTTGGTATTTGGTGAGGTTTGTGGATTTCGGGCGATCGCACGCCACATTTCCCGCGCCACATGTGGCTTACACCACCTTGTCATCACCGCATCAAGGATCGCGAAACTTATCTCGGCGATCTCTCAAAGAACCCTTGACAAACCTACCAGTGAAACGCAGCAAATGTAGTGAAGATCTATAATACTTCAAGATATAGCAATAAGCTTTTTTGACAAGAGTATCATAACCTCCTCAACGAGGGATCACCGCCTGTAAACACTAGGTAAGCTCCTGCAACCAAGTTATAAACAGAATCTCCGAGACATCGATAATCCTCATCATTCAGTATCATCTTCCAGTATTGATTGACTATTCTGCCGTAATATAGGAGTTGATTTGTAGCTCCGTAATTCTCCATCACTTTTCTGCTTCGGCCTTCCCTAAGTCTTTGCCTCCGTTTCATTCCTATGTTACTGGCTTATAACTATTATTCTGCCTCTTAATTTAAGGGTGTGTCCGACTTCCAATTGAGTCAGATATACCTCGATCGCTAGATACTGAGAACTTCCACTATGCAAGTTTTCTACCAACAATTTTATTTGCCGTTGGTAGCCTTCTACTCATAATACTACCCCCAGGCCTCCTTTGTCTTGAGAACTAGGTCGGTAATGTTTAATTGTTTCAATTATTGCTGGATTTTACCCAGATTTTGCTGTGATCCGCACCAATAATCAATTCATAGATCCATATTAATTCACCTCCCGAAAGCGAGCAGGACCTCAGATCTCCGCAAGTGCGGTGATTAAAACCACAGCTCACTCTTCACAGCATTGCAACGTAAGTATTCTTTCTTCAGTCTATATACAAATCGCGGAGGTCTTTCCCATGGCCCACTCCTACCAGTTACCTACCATCATTAGTCTCTTGTTTCTCATAATTTCTACCTCTGCTGCTGGGACTTCCACATCGCCTTTCACCTTTCAAGAGAATGGTGGCGACGGTTATCAGCTTGGTGGGCCGGGCATAGCGCCTGAAATCAGGGTTGCCCCAGACGAATTTCCTGGAGTGATTCGCGCTGCCAATGACCTTGCCATCGACTTCGGGCGTGTTCTGGGAGTGAATGCAACGGTTGTTAGCGCCAACTGGAATACTACGGTCTCTACGAACCCACTGAAACCTATCATACTGGTTGGAACGGCTGGGCATTCAAGCCTAATCGACAATTTGGTTGCGTCTGGCAAGTTGACAACTGCTGCGATCAGTGATAAGTGGGAGACTTTCTCATATCAGATCATCCCCGCACCATGGCAAGGTAAAGACGCTGTCCTGACCATCAGTGGAAGTGATATGAGAGGCACCATTTTCGGTATATATGATATCTCCGAACAGATCGGAGTTTCCCCTTGGTATTGGTGGGCAGATGTTGCTCCTGTCAAGAGACAATACATTTACGCTCGTGGCCCTGCTGTGGTTCAAGGACCGCCGTCCGTCAAGTTTCGCGGCATCTTCTTCAATGATGAATCTCCCTGTCTGACTAGCTGGGGGCATGTAAATTTTAAGGATTCACAGTATGGTAGTCCCTTCATCACCGACTTCTATAAACGAGTCTTCGAGCTGGTACTTCGAATGAAAGCCAATTATGTCTGGCCTGCCATGTGGTCATCGATGTTCTATTTGGATGATGCAAAGAATGGCCCAACTGCCACAGAATATGGTGTGTTCATGGGTACAAGCCATCATGAGCCCATGGCAAGAGCCGATAAAGAACAATCAAGATTCCTGAAGGGGTCTTGGGACTGGCGAAGTAATAAAGCGAACGTGCAGAATTTCATGCAGGAGGGTGTCACCAGATCCAAGAACTGGAGCACCGTGTATACTTTGGGGATGCGTGGCTCCGGCGATGCTGCATCTGCTACTTTGACGTCTTCGGCGCTGGAAGAGGTCATACAATGGCAGCAATCAACCCTCACCAAGACATTGGAGCGCGACCTGTCGACAGTACCTCAAGCCTGGGTCATGTACAAGGAAGTTCCTGGATATTGGCAGAACGGCATGAAGGTTTCTAACGATGTTACCTTGCTTTGGACCGATGACAACAGAGGGAATATCAGGCGCATTCCCATTGCAAACGAAACTACTCGAAGAGGGGGTTCGGGGATGTACTATCATTTCGACTACGTTGGGGACCCGCGAAACTACAAGTGGATTAATAGTATTCAACTTACAAAAACCTGGGAACAGATGAGTCTGGGTTATAAACGAGGTATTAGGAACATTTGGATTGCAAACATAGGGGATCTCAAAGGCTTGGTGGGTCGCGACTGTTCTAATTTTCTTATACCATTCCCGAAGCCCAACTGATGATTCTTTTAGGAACTCCCCACCGACCATTTCCTCGCTATGGCATGGGATATGGATAGCTTCGAAGATCCATCAAGTACCACCCAATGGCTCACTAACTGGGCAGCTAGGCAATTCGGTGAGGTTATAGCTGCAAACACTTCTTCGATCATGACGACTTATGGCAAGCTTACGGCACGAAGGAAATATGAGGACCTAAGCACGTCCTTTGGGTTTAGCACATCCGTCTATGACGAGGCCGAGAATAATTACGGTGAGTGGACGGCGATATTGGAACACGCACAGTCTCTCTACGATAGCCTGCCTAGTACTGTGCAGCCGTCATTCTTCGAAATGATACTGCACCCAGTGCTTGCAGGCAAGACTGTCTACGAGATATACACTAAGGCAGCCGTATCGAGCAAATATGCAAATGAGCATAGAGTAAGTGCCAACAAAATGGTCAGTGACGTCAAGGCAGCGTTTTCGAATGATGCTGCCATCACCAAAAGATATCATAGTCTCCTGAATGGCAAATGGAATCATATGATGGACCAGATTCACTTAGGATACAACAACTGGCAGGATCCTGGGTCGAATAGCATGCCAAAGGTGACCTACGTCTCAAGCACTACAGCATCGAGGAGTGCTATAATGGGAGTGACAGTCCAAGGCACGACCAGCTACTACCCAACTAATCCAACTCTGACAATGAGTTCACCAATCAATCCTTACACTCCGGAAAAGCTGTGGCTTGAGATTTTTGCACGGGACAACGGCACCTTTGCATATACGGTAACATCCAATGCTTCTTACGCAAGTGTTAGCAATCCAGAGGGTAGTTTGACGGCTCCTGGAAATGGAACTGATATTCGCTGTCTCGTCAACGTTGATTGGGATAATGCACTGATGGGCCTGTCCACAGTAGCCCTCACGATCAAGAACTCCAACGCTGCGGGTACTTCTCCTGCCATTGTAAATGTTCCAGTCTACAAATTTGACATCCCAGCCGGTTTCAAAGGACACATTGAATCCGGCGGTGTTGTCTCGATCGAAGCATCCCACTTTGGTGCTGGTTCAGGGGCCGAGTACAAGACTATCCCCGACTACGGACGAACATTGTCAGGTGTAAGGTTCGACCCGATGACAGAGTCCCAAAAGCCAGCAGCAGGACCTGTTCTTGTTTATCCATTCTACACTCTCTCCAACACGACAGCAGCCAGCTTAACAGTATACCTCTCGTCTTCCGAGAACTCAAACCCGACAAGCCCAAATAGGTTTTCCTTCTCCATTGACGGCGCCAGCCCAACAACAGTACAACCTGTTCCGTTGGCTAATGCCGGAAGCGAGCCGTCGGGTTGGTCCACGGCTGTCATAGAGAATGCATGGGTCAAGACGACCAAGTTCGGAAATCTTGCGGCTGGAAAGCATGAACTCAAGTTTTGGCTGCTAGAGCCGACTATAGTCTTGACCAAGCTCGTGATAGATGTAGGAGGATTGAAAATCAGCGCTCTCGGACCTCCTGAAAGCAGGTTCATTGGTTCGTGAGAGTTGCCACAGGATAGTCAATTCACTTATGTAAACACCTCTCATGACAAGAGCCGTGCGTTCGGCTGATGTTTGCTCAAGTTGATATGAATCCTACACTTCCGCCGGGGTAATGTTTGTTCATTCTGAGTGGGAATCGCAACTTTTCAGACAAGGGAGTTGCTACTTTTGTCGAGACCAGCGGGGCTATAGAAATAAACAGAATCTTCAAAGCCCCGATCAGGTATTCTCAACCCTGGTTTCTGGTATATTCAACTGGCTAAAATAACGTTTATTACCCCGGTGGAGGTGTAGATTCTGGAGAATGCGAGATAGATTAAGGAGGCATGGGATAGATATATTTTGGGTACCCTTGATTCCAAGAGCGAAACCTCATGTAGTCTCCGAACTGGTAGGTAGCTGATGGGTTGCCGTCCTGACCAATAGACCCAGGCATAGTGATCAAGCCTAGTCGTTGTAATAGAAAGCCTAATTTGGATTTACACAAGTCCTACCTAGGTAGAAACGACTATTGCTGTAATGAACGAAAGCCGAAATCTGGAAGTCAAAAATCTCCCTCTCGAAACGATTGATTAAAGGTCGCGCCATCCATCGCAGATCAAAATGGATAACGGAGTACAAGCTTCGAAACAATTGAAATAAAATCACTACCAAGTATGTGAGCTGCTCGGAGCTCCTGTTAGTGCCCGAACTGACACCGTCGTGCTCGGAGGAAGTTGGTGCTTCCTAAGCCGGGGTTCGGTCGACTCGGTCGGTTGATTGATGACGAAATGTAGTTAACACTGAGCTCCCCGTAAATTTTATCGGCTAGTAAATCCATCAACCGCGCAACAACATCCGCTGTGATTATGGCAGTGCCGCACCTCGACAATTCCACCATCACGGCCATGTCACACAATTGTCGCGCATCTCTACTAAGATAGCAAGCGCTCGGCTTGTCACCTGCAAAATGAGTCCCGGGGCGGTGCGACGAGCAGTCCTGCTCCCGCAGCGTACCCTCGGCCTCGGTCTGACGGCTCAGCGAACATCGGAGCTGCTTCGCGATGGATTGACGCCGCAGTCAAGCTTCCCAAATACCCTCAGGGCCTCTGCTTCGTCATTCCGATCAATCTCGCACACATCGAAGACATATGCGAACTTCGCCACGTCGCGCATTAGCATTAGCATTCGCGCACGCTCACCTCTCTCTAACAGCCTCGTTCGATCATCACCGTTCGATGTCTTGCGTCCTTTCTCAACAGCTCAGAGTTTACAGCAAGAGGATACACAATTGAAAAAAGAAATAGCTACACCGAAAGATGCGAAGGTTGCAGAGACCACCAAATCACAAGGTGCGGACCAGGAGAATACGGCAGATTACTTGGACCAACATGGCTTCCAGAGGAGCGAAAAGGCCGACAAGGCAGCGCACATCAACATGAGCGCACGCCTGTCGAAGGAGGGAAAAACACAGGGACAGTCAGGCTGGTCAGAGGTCTGGCGTCTCATGAAGATCGCAAGGCCGGAGATAAGGTGGCTAGGCATAGCCTTCTTTTTCCTGCTAATCTCGTCTTCCGTCACGATGTCTATTCCTTTCTCTGTAGGACGGATTCTAGATTTGGCGACGAAGGGCCCGGTCGAGGATGCGCGGATACTGGGCCTGACCCTGACACAGTTCTTCCTCGGCTTCGCTGCCTTCATGACACTCGGCGCTATCGCGAACTACGGAAGAATAGTGCTCCTACGTATCGTCGGTGAGCGGGTGGTGTCTAGACTGAGAACGCAGCTTTACAGGAGAACGTACGTCCAGGATGCTGAGTTCTTCGATGCCAACAGAGTCGGCGATCTTATTTCCCGCCTGAGCTCCGACACAGTCATTGTGGGCAAGAGCATCACTCAAAATATATCGGATGGACTTCGTTCATTCGTCAGTGGCACTGCTGGTTTCGTTGCCATGGCATGGCTCTCTCCCAAACTAACATCTATTATCCTGCTCATGTTCCCGCCGATCGCGATTGGCGCGTTCTTCTATGGACGGATGATCAGAAATCTCAGTCGGCAGATTCAGAGAAATCTGGGTACTTTAACGAAAATTGCCGAGGAGCGGCTCGGAAACATCAAAACCAGTCAAGCATTTGCTGGCGAAATACAAGAGGTTCGGCGCTACAACAACCAGGTACGGAAGATCTTTGCATTGGGTAGGAAGGAGTCCCTCATTGCTGCCACATTCTTTGGCTCGACCGGCTGGGCGGGCAACATGACTGTTCTAGCACTCTTAATCGTCGGAGGAAACCTTGTTAGGAGTGGGACGATGTCTCTCGGCGACCTGACATCATTCATGATGTACACAGCATTTGCTGGATCTAGTCTCTTTGGAGTCTCAGGCTTCTATTCGGAGCTGATGAAGGGTGTAGGCGCTGCTAGTCGTCTCTTCGAACTGCAGGACAGAAAGCCTACCATCCCAGCAACAGTAGGTGTCAAGGTCACATCGGCGCAAGGACCGATCAAATTTTCGAATGTTACTTTTGCCTACCCGACTCGACCGGCGGTAAAGATCTTCGATGGTTTGGACTTCGAGATACCATCGGGAAGCAACGTGTGCATTGTTGGACCATCTGGAGGCGGCAAGTCAACTGTTGCTAGTCTTCTGTTGAGATTCTACAATCCCGTTGCAGGAAGCATCACCATCAACGGGATAGACGTCAAAGACATGAACGTGAAGTCCTTGCGGCGGCGCATCGGTATGGTAGCACAAGAGCCAGTGCTCTTCTCTGGTTCCATTGCGGAGAATATTGCCTACGGTCGACCACACGCCACTCGGTCTGAGATCATCATAGCGGCTCAAAAAGCCAACTGCCAGTTCATCAGCGACTTCCCGGAGGGTCTTGAAACGCAAGTCGGTGCTCGAGGTGCTCAATTATCAGGAGGTCAGAAGCAGAGAATCGCCATCGCTAGAGCACTGCTAAAGGACCCGGATATTCTTATCCTCGATGAGGCCACCTCGGCTCTCGATGCCGAGTCGGAGACCTTGGTCAACTCGGCGTTAGCTGCGCTGCTCAAGGGCAGAAGCACCACGATTTCAATTGCCCATCGCCTCTCCACGATCAAGCGGTCAGATCAGATCATCGTGCTCTCTAATGAAGGCACCGTGGCGGAGATCGGCAGCTACACGGAGCTGAGCGCCAACCCTGATAGTGCGTTCAGCAAGTTGATGGAGTGGCAGATGAGCGGCGGCGACGTGCCAGCGGACCATCGTCTGCGCTCAGACGGCCATATTACCGAGGCCGAAGAGATCGAGGAGGAGCTAGAGGAGCCAGAAGACGAGGAAGAGATCATCGCAGAGGAGGAAATCAAGAGGCAGTAATCGCATTGACCAGTCTCCACGCCACTCCCTTAAGTACGCATGCATTTCAGCGGCAAGGGACTCAGGAGGCACCTAAACTCCTATAGGAGTCGCGGTTGGTATCTACACTAAACTGACTGCGGGTAGAGAACGAGGCGCTCAAGCCAGTTCACATCGATGCATCCCAGAATTGTAGCATCTAGGGACACGCACGCACTCCACTCGGATAAGGGCTTGTATCTTAGAAAGATTGCGAGTCGAAGGGATTTGAGGAGACGGGATATTGTGGCGTCTTCATGTATTTCAGGACACAAAAGGAGCATAATAACAACTGTACAATATGTCACCTAGGCGTATCTGCCACACCGCATGTTATTACCTCATGCAGCAAGTCCAGCAAGGCCATTGGCCGCCACGCGCAGTATGTGCGCAAAGCACAGCCTTCGCGTTTGCACATGAGGAAAGCCTCGTGCAGAGTAAGGCGCACAGAGCGTCGTGAAAAGTGTCCCCTCCCCACAAATCCAGCCTGATTACTTTGTTCATCCCAATTTCATAATTCAGGTTATTCAAGTACGTTCAGGTCAGCTCCTCGCGATGTCCTTTGGAATCTCGGTCGGTGATTTCATAGCTGTCGGAAAATTGATCTGTGACATAAGCTCATGTCTGAAAAATGCTGGCGGAGCAAAGACCGAGTACCAGGACCTTGTACTGGAGCTTGATTGTCTACAGAAGGCCTTGACTCATCTAAAAGGCTTACAACCACAACATTCTCAATTTGACCTTGAAGCCATCAAGTACACCGCTCTCAGCTGCAAACGGCCCCTAGAGGAATTCCTCGACAGATTGAAGAAGTATGAACCCTCTCTTGGGCTGCTATCGACTTCCTCTAAATGGAAAGCTCCGGTCGACAAGCTCCGGGCAAGCTCAGCATGAAAGATGATATTCAAAGAATGCAGAGTTACCTAAGCGTTCATGTTGGCATACTGAATCTCCTTTTATCGAAGTATAGCCTGGAGACCATGGGAATTGTCCAAAAACAGTTGGGGATGGACTTCTTACAAGTAACCGAGCAGCTAGAGGCCACGAATAAGTCACTTAGTGGCATTCAGTCCAGCATGTCTAATCAGAGTACAGCCATGTATACGGCTGGGACTTTATTGGGAGGGTTATGTCGTATAGTTAATGGTGAGATATTGACTTCGCTGAAATCACTCGCAAAAATGGTGGCTGCTATCTTGTAAGAGACTCCAGACGAAAGCTTCTTTCTTTCGCTTGGAAGATTCTTCTAACAGTAATCAGGATATCCACACAACGGATATACGGAGTTGCCTTGGAGATTCGAGCGTCTCTTGCAAACAAACCCGATTGTCGATGGACATCTTTTCAGGATCCGGCGATACTCGAGGACGCAATTGGACGGAAGTTTCCTGTGCCCTCTGAGTACGACTTCAAGATGCTTGATGCGATTATTCGACTGAAGTTCGACACCGGACCGGGATCCGTCGAGGTGAGATTGGGTAACTACCAGGTATCCGATGCAAGACATCGTGATTCGACACTCTCATCCGGGTCCCGCTTGCGACCTGGAAGCTCACTCATCATGGCCATCATTATCAGCAAACCTCGTTCTGGAACTATGACGCACCAGTCTTGCCCCATGCCTCGTTGTGGTTCAGCCTATACAGAGGCTCTGCAATGGGGCGGAAGAATATGGTAAGCCACACAGACTGTCATTGATACTTAGAAGGGTACTGGAGGCTAAAATGGGACCAATGCACAGCTGTGACTGCCGCGTGTGGTTTTCGGAAACGCAAGTACAAAGAAAATCTTTGATGGGGTCTAATACCAGCGATTGTCATGCCCCAGGTCTATCGTCGATACATCACTCATTTTATGTGGAAAATGACTGCAATACCACGCTGAAGCCAGAAAATCAAACGAGCACTGATGAAGCTGACTTCAGATTTGTAAGGCTTGCCACAGATCCTGAAGGACCTCAAATGCCACAATTAGCAGGAGAAAGAGTGCAGACGGAAGGAGATAAAGGCAACATGACCAAACATAAGGCCGAGACAGAAGAAAATGATATTGAGACGGCAAGAGATAAAGTTGAGGATGAGGGAGCAGAGTGGAAACGGCAGGTGGCAGAGCTGATCGAGCAAAGAACAGCAGAGAAAAAGGCAGCAGAGAAAAACCAGGTGGGGCTGAGACAAGAAAAGGAGGCAGAGCGAAAGACAGCGGAGATAATGCGACATAAGCAACAGAAGGACTCCCAACTGGGACGAAAGGAGAACCTTCAAGCAGAGCACAAACGACAAAAGGGGTTGCCGCTGAGACGGAAGGAGCTAGATAAGAAGGAAGAAGAGAGACTGGAGATAGATCGGGCGAGTATTGATTCAAAGCAGCCCAGTGTCGGCTCGGCGGCAGACTCTACAGGGTACCATCCCTCAAACTTGACAACTCGTCCGCCGACTCTATCCCCAGGTCAGCCTCTGACTCCCGACGCCCTTGCTCTGATCGACGAACAGATGAGGCAGTACGACAACATAAGTGACGGATGGCTCAGAGGAAACCGAGATCCATATAATCCATGGGTTGGGAAATCTCACTATCCTTCCAAGGGATATGAAAAGGAAATTTCAAGGTTACTCGTTCGCTTGAATGGACCTCAGGCCCCTTACCGACCGTTTCAACTTCAAACTCCATTTGATTTTCACCCGGATACTTCGGGGTTAGGAGTATGGGCGTCGGATATGCAAAGACATTCTCCTTATGATCCACAGTAGACTCGGCTGGGTTTGCGTATATGAGATGATTGATGATTTCCTTCTCGGTGTACGACAAGTTGGCATCTGGCACAGGCCGGTGTTTGAACTTGTACAATCAGGATAGTCATTTCATATTTCGCTAACAACAAATTTTTTTTTTCTTTAACTCTTATTACTGCTGAGGTTTGAGTGCACCCGTAGAAATATATCGTTTTGAAACTTGTTCGGGCTTCCTTAAGACGACTATATCATCGACTCAATATTCAAGATCTTCTCGACTTGGAAGAGCTACATTTGATTATTGGATGATTGACATTGTTTTTTGAAAGGAAACTTAAAAAATGTACGAGAAACATGAGAAAGAAAGGCACCATTGATATCCGTTTGTGATAAGTCTTGCAAGCTGGTACTTTTCTAGTAAGAGAGGAGCTATGTAGGATGTAGCGAGTGACAACATAATCTGATTATGCTATGAGATTGCTCATCATTGCTAAAAGGCTACATTACAGGAGTGAGAGTCGGAAGACTGATGTAATGCATTAAGAGATACAATCCATGCTGGGAGGGAGAAGACAAGGGAAGGTAAGTGCTCTGCTTGCGACCTGGGCATGCCTCGAGCCTGACTTTGTAGCGTACCCACCAAACAAGCTTGCGTGAGGAAAGCAGGCGACAACCCACTGCAGACCATGATCAACGTGGAGAGACGATATAGGCAAGATGGGCTGCACTGTCTGTTCCAGATGTCTGGTGATACTGGCCAAGGTCAGCCCAGGTCGTTGTCCCAGCCGATGCAATTGGCAGATCTGAGATTGCGTCAGTGAGCCACATGCCGCTGCGGTTAGAGCCCGAACCACCTGGGCGCAGCGCAGGTGCTCCCGCCCACATGGCGCACCAATGAGCCTACACGTAGCAATGGTAGCACTGCCCCACCTCGAAGGGCGATGCGAGGGAGAAGAAAAAAAATTGAACCCCTCCAAAGCTCCGATAATGGCACTGCATGGGTTGCTGGGATTCGGGGGTCCCTTGAAGGAATTCCATAATAGAAGGCAGAGAGAATGCCTAGGGCTCTGTTCCCCCCACGTAACTTATATGTCTTAGCCTGGAGACTTGAATGATTACCTTAGCTCTTTGCCCATCAGAGTATCCCGTGTTGCTACTTGTCTGACTCACGGTGCCCGATCTGCGAGTGCGAGTAGTAAGAGGTGTGCGCTAGACTACCTAGTATCTCATAAAATCCGGGGGCACTTTGCGCTTCTTTTCCAACTCTCTTCTCGCTGCCCCTCCACCTTGAACGAACTCGCTCCCGACAAACAGTCATACTCCACGAAACACGCTCGACACTGTACAAAATTTACAAGGGCAATTGATCCGTATTCCGTCACCGGCTCTGCCGTCCTTGCATGCGGGAGGAAACCACCGGTACCGAGGCCGCTGTTCGCTGCCCCTCGCCGAGGCCCAGTCGAGTCACCATGACCCGGTCCGTGTTGAAGAACGTCAGCGACAATGGATGGGTAGTCCAGAAGTTTGGCGGAACGAGCGTCGGCAAGTTCCCAGACAAGGTCAGTTAAAGCAGGGCCCTTTTCCCAGTCTGTTTGCCTCTGTTTTGCCCGGTTGCTTGTCATACAATCCGTCCCGCGAGACTAACGTGTGCGCCCGCCTTATGTCAGATCGCAGAAGACATCATCAGGTACGCCCCCGAGCCATTGAGCCCTCCCTCGGACGTCAATTGACTAGTTTTAGGGCAAATCTGAGCCGCAATAAGATCGCCGTCGTCTGCTCGGCCAGGAGTGCTGGAAAGAAAGTCACTGGAACCACCAGTCGGTGAGTCACATCTCGAGGTGCAATTGTAGGGGCGTCTCCCCCCCTGTCGAATGCGCCAGACCGTAATCTGGCGGCACCTGCTGACAACCCCTTCTTGCGTCTAGGTTATTGGAAGTATACAAGAGGCTACGAAATATCGATGCCGCAAGCGGTGTGGAGGACACCCAGAATGAGCTTGTAGAGGAGGCTAAGAGCATCATCCAAGACATCTGCAACGACCACCTCTTCGCCGTGCAGTCCTTCATAAGAGACGCCGATCTGCAAAAGGCTCTATCCGACGACATACAAAATGAGTGCCAGGAGCTCATCGAGTACATTGTGGCGGCCAGGCGTTTCAACCTCGAGGTCAACTCGAGATCAAAAGACAGAGTTGTGAGCTTTGGCGAGAAGCTGAGCTGCAGGTTTATGGCATATATGCTTAAGGACAGGCATGTCGAGGCGGAGTATGTTGATCTTGCGGACCTCATCCATTATGACAATTCGGCCCGGTTGGATGTCACCTTCTATAAGGAGGCTGTAGCTGTGATCAAGAAGAAGGTCCTGGCTTGCGGGGAGCGGGTACCCGTCATCACTGGGTTCTTCGGCAACGTCCCTGGCAGTCTTATTGATGGAGATATTGGTCGCGGCTATACTGATCTCTGCGCCGCCCTGGTAGCTGTTGGAACAAAGGCAAACGAGCTTCAGATCTGGAAGGAGGTGGATGGTATCTTCACGGCCGATCCGACAAAGGTCCCTACCGCGAGGCTTCTGTCTTCCATCACTCCGTCAGAAGCGGCCGAGCTGACATTTTACGGATCGGAGGTCATACACCACTTGACGATGGACCAGGTGATCAAGGCGGAGCCGCCCATCCCAGTGCGCATCAAGAATGTCAAGAACCCAAGGGGCGAGGGAACGATAGTAATCCCTGACCCCGTCTTATCTCCTGCGCAACAACTCAGGCGGTCGCGGCCTTCAGAAGCGGACCTGAGGAAAACGCCCAAGCGACCTACGGCGGTGACGATCAAAGACAAGATTTCCGTCATCAACGTTCACTCAAATAAGCGGTCCATCGCCCATGGCTTCTTTGCCAGGGTATTCTCGATCCTCGACAAGTATCAGATCTCAGTCGATTTGATCTCCACCAGCGAGGTCCACGTGTCCATGGCCATCCAGCTGACAGATTCGGATGCGAGCAACTTCGAGAAGGCCAAGGTAGAGCTGGAGCAGTACGGCGACGTCAGCGTTCTTCACGACATGGCTATCCTCAGTCTCGTTGGTGCGGACATGAAGAACATGATCGGTATTGCGGGCAAGATGTTCTCCACTCTCGGCGAGCACAATGTAAATATTGAGATGATCTCACAAGGTTCGTGTCTCGACTCCCTCCTTACTCGAGCATTTCACTAATCAGTCTTCAGGTGCGAGTGAGATCAACATATCCTGTGTCATCGATGCGAGAGACGCAACGCGAGCAATGAACGTGCTTCACACCAACCTGTTCACGTTTCTGGAATAGAGAAGGCGGTCCAGTTGGGGTTGAGAATATATACTACGAAATACCATACCGTTGCATCTACTAGAGAGCATTGGAGGTCAGAGTTGCATTTTTCAAAAAGAGTTATCTTGCATTCGAGTCTTGATCTTGAGGAGTCTCCGGGCATTTTTGGCACGGTTGCATTTTTGGATAGCCTCGGTTTGGTTCTGAAGAATAGATCGAGTGTTTCTGCAAAAAGGTGTATGTCGTGTTGTAACTCAAATTCGATTGTGTTTGGCTATTGATAACCCAACAAACCAGGCATTCCCCCCCTCTTAACAAACAGCAGAGACAAAATAGGCCAGCGAACCTTGTTTTAAAGCAACCTTGTTTTAAAGCAACCTCGTTTTAAAGCAAACTTCTTCTATATTTGAATATCCTGTCAAAAACCACCCTGTTTACTCGTTGGAAAATGGCAAGTATACTCTTCGGAAAACCCAGTATTAGATTGTGGTCAACACAAGTAATGTTAACAAACCTTGCTCTCACATGGCCATGATGATAAGAAAGACGAAATTTTGAGACTTGACAAAAGAAGTGCCCAGTCTGTGCTATTGTTGGCTAAGCCTCCTTTAATGCGGTCTTGAAAAATTTCAACTCATTGAAAAATAGCAGCGAGTAGTATGCTAGACAACTCTCCCGGGGGTTTGCTGTCCCTCATACTCACAAGTAGTGCATCTGACCTTCTGGATTGATGCAGCTGCTGGGTGTTTTCCTGATTGAAACGGTGTTTGAGGCTCCAGCTTGGGAAGGGTTTCTCGACCACTGGTTTTACTATCCTGACTACTCCAAAGTCTATAAAGCTCTCCTGGCCGGTACCAATAGAGATAGACAACCAGTAGTGTTACAGCTTCAGATATCACTAAATACCCGTTCATTAGTTAGGTCGGATTGATCGTTGGTGCATACACTTACATGATCCCAGAAGAATCTGCCACCATCGCCACGTAACTGCACTGCTATCATCCTTGGGAAAGTCTTGGCTAGGAATGGCGAAAAGTCCGGTGATAAATGCTAATGGAGTCTGCACTTTGTAAGAATTTCTGAATTTTGAAGAGCTCTAATAGTCTTACATAAATCACGGTGACGACTGTGAATAAGAGCAATCGGGACTGCTGTTCTCCAGCTAATGCTCTATTCTCCGCATCTGCAGCTAGCTTTCGTGTGTCCCTTGCCTCGTTGAGGTTACCCTGCTTTTGTTTCAAGTCCAAAAGATTTCTAAGCTGTTGGCATGTTAGTCTAGAGCGAAAATACGAGCGAGCCAAACATATTTTGAGAGCATACCGATGCTTCTACCGACTCAGCCTCTCCGTAAAGCCGTCTTACTTTTTCTCGACGGGATCGGAGGATCGATCTTTCGTTATTTCCTTGAAAACGTATCATTGACTGTTGATGCTTAGTGTACTCCCACAGCACGGTAGCTTGGTCGTCAAGGACTCGTTGAATCATTCGAAGTTCATCCAGGATGTCTTTGATCTCCTCAAGATCCTTGACTTCTTCGATGATATCGCAAATATGATCCTCTGCACTGACCGAATCTTCTTCTTCAAGCGGCGTCAAGTTTGCCTGTTGTCCCTTTTGTCTCTCTCTCAAATTCGGTATAGCATCCTCTACATCGACTAAAGCCTCTTCTTCGAGCCGTGTCAAGTTCCCATCTTGTCCCTTTTGTCTCTCTCTCGAAATTAGCTTAGCATACTGCTCCTGGTGTCGGCGAAAATGTTTATAACGGATTGCTTCTTTGTTCGACTAATTATGTCAAAAATAAACCAGGTCCTTTCCGCGGGGTTCTTACCACCGATGCAATGCTTTGCTCGAAAATATTAAACAAATTCTCATTGAGACCAGAGTTTAATGGTGCGTCAACGAAACTGAGGCATTGTTGAAGTATAGTAAATATCATTTGGTCTAGGGATGGTGGAGGCTCATTCCATATGCAGCGTAAGATATGGTAGAACGTATCAAGCTTTTCGCTTTCGTCCCAGCGTTCGGGCAGTGCTGTGACAATGGTATCTATCAAGTCAGTGGGCATCTCAAGTCGAAAAGTTAGTGACACACTTTTGTCAATCTTCCATAACCAGAGTTGATTAACCATCAGTATCTTGGGAGGTCTTCCAGCTTGACGGTCAAACCGATATACTACCTGGTCTCTAGCTCTATCCCGTGGATGTCTTAGCGACGTGTAGTATGACTGATCGAGTGTGCAAGCGAGATGTAAGTCTTCCGCGTCTTCGCGCCCATGAAGATATGCCTCTTCTAGTCTCTGCTTCATTGAGAAGTGTTCACTCTTGGGGTCTGGACAGTCCAAAAATGCCTCGGTTTCTGCATCGAAATATGGTATCTGCAATACACCCATGAGCGATCCGTGGGCAAAATTTATTAGATGCTCACTTACAACTACAGAGAAGACATCACCATTGCCCTCTGCTTGCTTCACGAACTGGGGTTTGCGGTATCTTGCGTACGTTGCCCAGCCTCGGTACTCGCAATACGAATCGTCAATGAAAGCTTCCAAATCCCATGTGTTGTCCGTATCAATAATATTGTTACTTGATAAGACACGAATAAGGTCCTATCAATATTGTCAGTCAAGGAAAGGAGTGCAATCAGCTTAGGATCTCATCACCTTGGCCCATCGTTTCTAGGGAGGCAAGACGAGTCAGTCTTTCATAATGCATAAAGATACCCGCCTCAGTCATGGATTTCGGCTTACGTTATTAGCAGGAAGATGTATCCAATTCCAATTTTGTTTGTCTCCATGGTCGTGTCTGTTCCTACCTCCAGGGTGGTGCGTTGCCAATGTTTCCCCGAGATTGCGAAACTTTTCTACTTGTACTGACTCCGGGCTCTGATCATAGATAAACCCGTCCACAGTTGCATCGTTCAGGTACCTAAATGATTTGCTATCATGACGTTGGGCCCATATTCTGAAATATTGGCATACTGCTTTTCTTTCTCTGGAAAGATTCTGCGGTAGAGGACTCCATTTCTCCGGGCGAGGTTTTTGAGTGACTGGCGGTGGATTCTCGATAGCATGGCGAAGCTTTTCAATGACTTCCTTCTCCTCAATCATTAGATTATCACATTTTCCTTTCGGAAGGTCTCCATAGTTCTTCTTTGTGGACTGTGAAGGGATTTGATTCTCAAGATTTGGCCCATTTCCTAGAATCTGAGTAGCTAGATCGGCAGGTGTCATGCCATCCCATCTCTTCAAATCAGAGCGAGCCCCGTATCGCAGGAGAATGTGTGCCACCTCATTGTGTCGTGTACTCAGAATAATTCGCTCTGCTCTTGAGCGGAATAGCTGAGCGAATGGTTGCAATAGGTCTAGGAACATTTGTCCCTTGTCAATGATGCCATGGAGAGATGTATCACCCTGAGGTCCATTGCGGGCATTGACATCTGCCCCAGCTGCGATCAGAAGCTGAACAACATGGACATGACCAAATCGCGTTGCCTCATAAAGAGCATTGTATCCATACGCGTCCCGGCCATCCACACTTATATCTTCTCGCAGAAGATTCAATATCTTGTTCTCGTCTCCCGATGCAGCGGCAGTGATTAGGCCAATCACCCTGGGATCGACTCCGGAATCTGGCGACGGACGTTTATCTATCTCACTAGGGCCGTACGACAATATTCTATCCGTAATTAGCCGGCTGATTTTGTAATGTCTTTCATTGCCGAAAACGAGGCTCAGGGCTGAGTGTGATGACTGGTCTGTGTTACTGAGATCTGGACACTTCGAGAGAAGGCACTCCGCAACTTCCAGGTGTGCTCCTTCAATAGCATAATGCAGGGGAGTCTTGCCCAAATTGTCGTATGTGTCAAGACCGCAGTCTTTGACATCTAAGAGAATTTTAGTCATGTCAACGCGGCCATTCTTCGCAGCTATATGAAGTGGAAGTCTCCCCATATCATCTAGTCCTAGCGTTGGAGGACCTTGTTTCAACATCTCTTGCACCAAGTCTATCTGACCTTTCTCAACAAGATTGTGTAACTTCAGCTTCTCCTTTTTCTTTATGCATGCCTCCTTTTCAAGTTCGAGCAGCTTGAGCTCCAGTTCTTTTGTTGTACGTATTTCACTATATTCGGCTTCACGGACCACTCGAATCTGTTGTCTGTGTTGTCATCAATTGCAGGAACTTACAAGTAAAGAGCCTAAAAGCTTACAACTCTGCCTTCATCAAGATTAAGAGGATTTCATTTATTCTCGAGCAATTCTCTTGCAGAATAAGCAGATCTTGTGAGAAATCATTGCGTGTGAGTGCCCAATCCAGAACTATTTTGAGGGGCCACATCTTCATATGCTTGACAACCTTTTCTCGGATTTGGTGTGTCTGATTCACCAAGTTCGTAAGTTCTTCTATTCGACTTTGTTGACCTAGATCAACCATTTCATGGATTTCTATTCGAGTGGCAGTGTAATCGAGAGCATTGTCAAAATCGGACAACAACTTCTTGATGCTTTTGGCGTCAAAGACGGTCACTGAGTCCTGTGACCACGAGACGGCTTCTTCAGCTGGCACAGCGCCCGCCATGGTCATATTAACAGAGCAGCGATGGACAACAGGTAGATACAGGCACTTCCAGCCTTAATATCGGAAGGAAGGAAATAGATAACGGGCAGTAGTAAGCAGAAAGCGATAGAAGCTGGGACTGGGGAAAAAAGGCTGTGTCTAGCTGATATGCAGGTTTGGCCTTTTGTATGTCGTCCCATCTGCCTTTTGTAATCTCCTGATAGCTGGAAGCATAACACGTGTTAACCCTCATTGTCCAACAACAGTACCTCAGCTCTGAAAATGAGGCGCTCCTTTTGCATGCGCCCGTGGGGGTTCTCATATATTGCTTTATTAACTACTTATCACTTTCTTATTATCTCTCTTTCCGCATACAGCTTGTCTCATATTTCTTTCTAGAATCCATAATGGTCTCGACATTGGATAGAGTATAGTATAGATCAAGTAAAAGATAAAGGCAGGAAGGGAACTGACAAGAATGATCAAGGTCATGGTTCGAGAGTAGTATCTGTCAAGATCGAGACCTGGTAAACTCTGGATTCTTTTGCTGAGTGACAAGGCTATACAACAAGGATGGGTCTAACCAAATCGGACTAGTGTGGGGCAGTGATTACCAGGAGTACCTATATGCAGTGGTAGAAAGCGCATAACTAGGCCACAGTTCTGTAGCGATAACCAGCTGTACCCAAAACACCTACAAGATCAAGGCTGCAGAAATTTGCCGCTTCCCTCCGCCACTGCTAGCGCATGATCGGTAGATCTTCAACTGCAATCGCGTTCATTCAGGTTTTTGTCAACTACTGCCCTTCGACATAATTCACCATAATGCCGAAGGCAGAAGTCGGTTCGACGAAGTACCTAAGCAACAAGCTCAAGTCCAAGGGCTTGCAGCGGCTGCGATGGTACTGCCAAGTATGTTCCCGACAGATGCGGGACGAGAACGGCTTCAAGATGCACGTCCAGAGCGAGAGCCACGTGCGGCAGATGCTGGTGGTGGGCGAGGACCCGAAGAAGGCGATCAACGAGTTCAGCGAGCAGTTCAAGAAGGACTTTCTGCAGCTGCTGCGGACGGGCCACGGCACCAAGAGCGTGCAGATCAACCATTTCTACCAGGAGTACATCGCCAACAAGGAACACGTCCACATGAACGCCACGCGCTGGCCGTCGCTGACCGAGTTCGCAAAGTATCTCGGCCGCGAGGGCATCTGCCGCGTCGAGGAGACGGACAAGGGCATCCACATTGCGTGGATAGACAACTCGCCCGAGGCGCTCAAGAGGCATGAGGCGCTGCGGCGCAAGGAGATGCAGGACAGGGGCAATGAGGAACTGGAGCAGAAGATGATTCGTGAGCAGATCAAGCGGGCGGAACAGGCGGCCAGGGCTCGAGGAGACACCGAAAAAGATGAAGAAGAGGACCGAGGGTTGCAGAGGCAAGAAGGCGAAAAGATCAAACTGTCATTCGGAGCCAAGGCGGCTCCCAAAGAGGATCCGAGTGCAACAGCCTCGCCTGCCGAAGGACAGCAGTCACCGAAGAAGAGCCCGTCAGCAGAGGTTGCTATATCAGGTGCTACGGATGGATTGCCCAACACGGACAGCGCTCTAGAACAGGCCAAGGCGTCTGAAAAGGAGGCCGAAGCGAAACCCTTGGCCTTGAAATTCGGGGCTAAACCACAACCGAAGAATGTGTTCGCACAAGCCAAGAAGGGCAACGCTTTTTCTAGTGGCGCAAAGAAGTCTGCCAAAATCGAGCAGCCCAAGAAAATGAGCGAGGCCGAGAGAATCATGAGAGAGGAGATGGAGAGGCAGGAACGGAAGAGGCAACGAGAAGGATCAGGTTTTGGCGGTCCCAACAAGAAGCAACGCCAGTAGTACAGGATTCGAGTTCACGAAAATGCATCACTAGGGCGTTATGGCTATGGCGGCAGTCTTTATTATGATACCAGGCTGGCTAGATTAGGAACATTAGGCATATGCAACATCGTTACACCTCACTTTACGACCGAAATCTAGCATCTACTCCATTCTGCATGTGGTCTACGCAATTCGTCCGCTCCCATCATCTATTGACGGCACCGACATGCTCGATGGCCGTCTTCCATTCAATGTCTTTTCCCCTGACCACCGTGCCTATTGAACGCCATCGCTAACAAGCATAATACAACGCCGCGCAGTCGAGTACTTCTGTACTTGAGCGACATTGAATACCCCAATCAATACGCCGTCGTGCTATCGGGCATGTAGTGCGTTTCGTATAAAATATTCTCTATGCGAGAGCTGCAAACGGTCCCGCCGATCAATCTGCCTCCGTCGCGCTGCCGTCACGTGGGATGTAGTGTATCCTATACTCCTCCTCGATCGTGGTGCGCACGTCGTCCGGCAGCTGGCCCGAGACCTTGATGGCGTAGACGCCCTTGACATAGCCGTCAAGACGCTGCCACTTCGCGACCCACGACTTGCCCGGGCTGCCGAGGGAGATTAGGCCCTCGAAGACCTGGGACGTGCAGCTGTCGATCTGGTCCGGTGAGCCCGCGAGGTGCAGGAACTCTTCGCAGTTGGGGCAGCCCTCATCGCGGAATCGCTGGCGTGGTCATTAGTACGAGTGTTACGGAGGGTGGGAGACTGAGGGATGTACGCTGTAGGTCATGACGATGGAGCACACCATGCAGGCGCGCAGGTAGCGCTGCTGGCCCGGTGCGACGAAATTCTCCGACATCGTGGGCGGCCTGGGTCGATCTGTGAGGGCGACGTTGGTGGAGGAGCGAGCTTCCTTTGTCCGGTTTCGTTGGAGCAGACTTTCGATGAGGCTAAAAGCTGCATGTGGATTTAGGTGATTTGTAGTAGGCAAGCGTCAGTGGTGGAACCGCTATTTCGCCACGCTGTGGCCTCGCCCTGGGTCCGCCGCACCTGAACTACAGGGCAGCCTTCAAGCGGCAAAGCTTAACTACGTTATGCGAATACATCTACTTATCGCATTTGCATCATTCATGCTTTTTTAAGAGCTTGTCAAGAGGCACCAAGAGGAACCTACAAGTCGGCACGCTTCCCAAGATGCCTGGCGACGGAGACGAGATGGATGTCGATGCACAGGGCGATGTGTCAAATTTGTCGACAGCCAAGGAGAAGTCACAAAAATGCCACGAACTTTTCACCAGCACCATCAGGAAACCGCCGTATGCATACGCTCACTTGGAGGTTGTTACTGAACCCCCCGAGACCGAAGCCGTTGATGAGATTCAGATTCGCATGTATTTCACCAAAGCTTTGGGGCAATTCTTGGGCGTCACTGGTACTGCCATTCCTATCGACATTCTTAAAGTACAGAGCAAAGAGTGCTGGATTCGTATGCCTCGGCAGGATCTTGGCCCCTTTACTTCCGCAATCACAGCTTGGACCGGAGAGTCTCGAGGGGGGACGACTACCATATTACAGCTTCGCGCATGCGGCGACTGGCTTGGGAGTCTCCTAGGCCGAACAGACCAGCAAAATCTCTGGAAGTCATGACAAGGATACAATTTGGCGGATGATCCAACCACCCTCCCATCTCCCTCTCTCCTGATTCAGGGGTATGATGTGCATTTTCATATCCTAAAGACTATGCCTTTCAACCATGATGCTCGATGATGGCTACCTAAAAACGCCACAACCTGGACTCCTTGTTATGCTGAAGCAGGCTCCACGTGGGGGAAATCTATTCAGAAAGCGGAGGACACGGTACATTACATCAGGGACGACATGATCGAGTTGTTCGCATATGCCTGCAAACATGTTAGCACAGTGCCGAACAAGGATAGGCAAGACCGGGAGAAGACTTACCATTGGCCGAATGTTCGGATGAGGCACGGCGTCGAACTGATGGAAGTTGAGTTTGTAGTCGGGGCCGATGTTGATGTACGCGCCCCTGTTCTCTGTCATGTCGCAGTATTTGGGAGCAGAGAACACTGCAGAAAGTTAATATCGTGACGGAATGAATGATGATAAATAAGACATACCAGTTATGCACTTGCCATCGTGCTCCTCCTCATATCCCTGCATGCGGACCTCGTGACTGCGGATGATTGCCTCCAAGCCGTTCTTCTCACAGAATCTCTTGGTGACATCCGGGCCGAATTGCATACCTACACCACGTTTGCTCGGTCCGCGGCCGGGCTCTGTCTGTGGATCTGTCCAGAGCATCTCCATCATCAATCCAGCCTGGCCTGGCTGTCGCTGCTTATGTCTGTCCAAGGCTCGAATGTCGTCGAGTGTGACGTTATCATCCGAGAACAGACCTCCGTGAAGGACGAAGTACTTCTTGCCAATCAGTGTCGCCAGAGGCAATGCCGAGAAACTCTCTGAGAAGAGCTTGAAGATGCTAATCAAGATGTTAGTGGTTTTCAATTTGCAGCCATGACTTAGAGGACCAACCGTTCATTATATTTGGCCTTGCATTCTCCCTCGAAGCCATAAACCTTATTCATGTCGTCCGTCTCGTGGTTGCCACGATTGAGGAAGAAGTTCTTGGGCCTGAGCCACTTGTTGGCGTAGAGAAGCAGGGCAATCTCGGTCGACCATGATCCACGATCAACGAAGTCGCCATTGAAAAGATACCAGTGCTTGTCATCCGGTCTTCCGTTCAATCTGAACAGCTCCATGAGATCGAAGTACTGGCCATGCGTATCTCCGCATACTGTGAGTTGGATGTCTTCCGGAATGTCGACCTCGACCATTGTAGGCTCATCGTATACAAGCTTCTTGACTGCCAGGATTATTTGGTAGACGTATTTCTTGTGAATCTTCTTGCCGGTCTTGAACCGCTCCGTCATGTCATCAATGAACTCTTGTGTCATCTCATCACCAAGCTTCACACCATCATAGTCGGGCTCAACAGCGATCGATGCAACATCGAGACCCTCGGCAGCAGAGGGCTCATCCCCAACCTCGATGGCATCGAAGAATTCGAGCTGGCGCACAATCTTTTGGCACTCGACAAGCTTGAGTTTGGCATCCTTGTTTCCGGGCTCAATCTTCACACATGACTTGAAATCTATCATCGCATCTTTCGGTCGAAGGATAGCTGCATATGCCACAGCACGCCGGTAGTAAGCCTTTTCGCCACAGCACCATTAGCTTGCATCAGAGAAGGGGTCTAGTCTCCTACAAACCTTTACAAAGCTCGGATCAAGCTCGATCGCTTTCGTCGCATCTGCTATCGCATATCCATATGCTTCCGATTTGAGGTTGGCCTGTGTTATAAAATATCAGTCAGTCACGCGAGCAACGAAAGAGAGGTCTTTCAACACCAAGGGGGGTTGAGTAGGCACCAACCTGAGCTCGGTTCGCATAGTACGTTGGTTCCGTATCGTCCAATGCAATGGCCTGTGAGTAGAAATCTATGGCAGTAGGCCAGTCGTGAGCTTTGAAGGCCTTGTTGCCCTCGTTCTTGAGGGCAACAGCCTTCTCCTTCGTCTCCTTGTCTATCGTCATTATTCCCTACTAGCTGCTCCTCGTGAACGACCAGTTGCCTGTGTGGGAATTTGAGTAAATTGTATGGTCGCGAACAAGGTGAACTGTAGTGGGAGGGACGTCTCGTTGGGGGACAGGCCGTGTTCGGGAAGTAGAAGCTTCCGTGGGCGAGATTTTGCGAATTTGACGAGGCAAAAGCTCCAAGTTCCAAAGGCTTCCACACGGCGTTTCTATTGCCAAGGCTCGCAGGCAGGGGCTCCGTGGTACTGATCGGCAGAGCCGTTAGTTGCATAAAGAATTTATTTTACCCCGCATGTACTAAAAGGAGCATTTTAATCTGATAAGAAGGGAGGCTCCAGGTGGAAGTCAGTGCTGAGCCACAAGTGGCACTGTGGGGGGTCGCATTTATGAGTCGTAGCTCTAGGCGTCAGGCTTCTTCCCTTCAATAACATCACGCGTTGCGCAACCTGCCCATCTCGACAATGGAGGCGCAAGGCTCCATGTCCAGCGCCCTCGTGCGCAAGAGGACGGACACAGACCTAATGCCACCTCCGCCGCCGTCAAAAAAGATCAAACGACCAAAGAAGGTTATCGACGAAGAGACATACACAGAGGCATTGTCGAAGATCATTGCGCGCGACTTCTTCCCGGGCCTGTTGGAAAGCGAAACACAGCAAGAGTACCTCGATGCATTAGAGTCGAAGGACCAAGGATGGATATCGAGCGCCAGCCGGCGGCTGCATCAAGTCATGACACCAGGGAGACAACGGTCGAGGAGGGGCGCATCTTTACAATCGGGAGCGCAAACACCCGTTGGCTACGGCGGCGACACGCCCATGTCGACCGTATCCTCGGTATCTGCAATGGAGGAAAGCATTCAGGTCGACACGAATATGAGCCTAGGCTCGTTTCAAGCCAAGTACACGAGCGAAGACAATGAGAGCTTCTATAAGCTTCTGGATAAGCAAAATCAAAAGAGGGCAGAGAAGTATGGATGGCTATGGAGGGGCAATAAACTGCCCTCGAAACAGCAATTAAAGCAGAAGGAAGTTGAGGCGAAGCTCAGCCAAAGTCGAAGTCTCATTGACGATGGCTTCAAAAAAGACCGACTGGCAATCAAGGACAAGGACGACCGGCCAGCGGCTCCAGACCATTGGGTAGCCGATCCCAGGAACGGCTTGATGTTTAGCCCTGATGGCCCTGATGAATCTCTAGAATCGGTCGCCCAACGGGCACAAGCGGCATCTCGCGCACCACCAAAATCCATCGTCTATGCGAACACACGAGTCCCGAATCCGAATTTAGTTATTTCTTCGGACACGTCAGTACCACCGTCTCCATCTTTATCAGCCGTCAGAGACGCCATTGCTGGGCGGCCTCGAGCGAATGATAGAGACTCTACTGCCGGTGGAAATGAGACGCCTAGGGTCAATGGATATGCGTTCGTAGACGACGAAGAACCCGAAGAGCCCACGCCAGCTGCACCCGTAATCAATTTGGGGCCTGGCGATGAGACTCCCAATCCTTTCAAACTGCAAGAACAGAGCAAGCGGGAGGATCTTCATCATCGCATGGTGGAAAGGATTGCTCAGTCAAAGCGAACTTCAGCAAAGCTAGGGCTGACAGGAAAGGTGGACAAGACGCCTGTCCCGAGGTTTCCAAATAGCCCAAGGGTCACAGGCGGTCTAACACCGGCTGCTCAAAGACTTTGGAGCAAGGTGGGCAGCACAGGACGGACGCCTACCAGTCCGTTTCATGCAAAGGCAACCCCTCGGAGCAGGGGTTCGGGGCTTAAAAACATAGCGAAGACATCGTCCTGATGAGGCCTTGTCGCCGGCGACGAGCTTGGAATTGTGAAATTGAAACAAAGATACCCATAGACATATATCAAAAGAGTTATAATCATTATTGACCGTGTTGCATGTTTGAAAGTGAATCAGCTCTCAATCGATAGTCCTGGAAGTGCTTTGCCTGCCGCTAATGCTGCCATTGCCTGCCGCTGTTATAGGGCTGCAGGGGTCATAGCATCATTGACAGAGCTCCAACTTTTTTTCGGGTGAGCTGCACCTCGAAGCTTCCCACGACCTCAGGGTACCGACCACAACTTCCGTTCGCAACTAGGCGATGGATCTACGGGCTCGCTGGCCCTCCCCACGGTTTCAATGAGGTTCGCAGACATCGTTATCGATCTCGCGGCTGTCCTCAGCGCCTCACGCTTGGTCGCTTCGAAACATGTTGCACTACGCGGGCGGCAGCTCGAGCGCTACAACAGGACCTCGAGCGTCGCCGCAGCTTTCCGACAGCGCCAGGGACAAGATCCTCGGTCTGCGACAACGGCTCATGTGAACCCCCAAGGGGAAGCTTCCGCGAATGCTAATGCACCCGAGGAGCCTGCTTCCGGGCAGACTCCAGCAGAGCCCGTCTCACCTCTGGACAATGCGGCTGTACAGGACCTGGCTCGAGTAAGCCTAAAGCAAAATATAAGGCCCAAGGGACCTGAATTCACACCCGCTCCGTGGGCTACCTCATCACCTAGCGCTCTGCTCCAGGAACTTGCGCAGAAGAAAACGAGGCATGAAGCTGAAGATATAACGCCTCAACGGCCAGAGGTCGTGCAAGATGACATCTCCCAACGGCCGGATGCAACTACAGTGCAGGTCGATACTAAAGATGTGCCTGTTACTCTAGACGAGCCAGGAACGGGGCTGGCGGATGAGGCAGTTCCGGAAGGTGTCGACGTGAACATTTTCCGCACAAGTCGTGGCGCAGTGATGGCTCCCTCAGCGCCCGAAGATGCAGAAAAGAACGCTCCGCTAGGTGTAGATATCAACATCTTTCGGACTGGCCGTGGATCCAATCTACAGTCAAAGGAAGGAGGGAGGTCAGCCCAGTCAGCGCCACGAGGTATTAACGAAAGCGCCCTTCGGGAGCGTATAGAATCAGCCTTGGAACGCGCCGGAGCAGTAGCTTTTCAAGCCCAACAAAGTCTTGCCACTGAGTCAAAGCTAGAAAGCGATGACATGGCCGCCGAGCCTCCCGCTGAGGCACCGGTCATCACGACGCCCAAGGCCGAGAGATCTCTCGAAGGCGAGGGCTCACTATCGAAGCAGGAAGCATCGGAAACCGGGGAGATGCTAGGTGCAAGTGCTTCTCAAACGCCGGCATATCAGTTAAGGGAGTCCAAAGTCCCATCGTCTCGACTTGGGAGAATCTGGAACTATGGCGGCTTAGCCGTCGGGATGTTTGGCGGCGCTCTAAGTGAGAGCATTAGCAGAGGCTTTGGTGGCGGTGGAGAGGGCTCTGTCATGCTTAGTCCGGCGAACATGGAGCGACTGGTCGCCAAGTTGTCAAAAATGAGAGGTGCCGCGCTCAAGATCGGGCAATTGATGAGTTTCCAGGACTCCAAGATGCTTCCTGGTCCTATCCGAGAAGTTCTGCAAAGGGTACAGGACAGGGCAGACTACATGCCGGCATGGCAGAGAGACAAAGTTCTTGCGGCCAGTCTTGGCGGTGAATGGCGAGAGCTTTTTGATAGGTTTGACGAGAAGCCGATCGCTGCTGCATCAATTGGCCAGGTCCATAGGGCGACTCTTAAATCGAATGGTGCTGAAGTTGCCGTCAAAATCCAGTTTCCAGGAGTAGCGGATTCGATTAATTCTGATCTGGACAACCTAGGGATGCTCTTAACTGCCACAAAACTACTCCCCAAGGGCCTCTACTTGAACAAAACGATCGACAACTCCAGACTAGAGCTCGGCTGGGAATGCGATTATGAAAGAGAGGCTCAGTGCGGAAAGCGGTATCGCGAACTCCTTGCTGACGAGGAAGACGTCTTTCTTGTGCCCCATATTTACACCGAGGCTTCAGGCAAGCATGTTCTGACCATGGAATACATGGAAGGAGTCGGCGTTACCAGAGTTACGTCCTTCACCCAGGAGCAACGGGATTGGATTGGCACTCAAATTCTCCGGCTTTGTTTGAGAGAAATTACCGAGTTCAAATTCATGCAGACGGACCCCAACTGGACCAACTTCCTATATAATGCCGAGAAAAACAAGCTGGAGTTGCTAGACTTTGGCGCTTCAAGAGAGTATCCTGAGCGCTTCATCACACTTTACGTTCAGCTATTAATGGCGGCGTCAAAGTTGGACCGCGATGGGGTGAAGCGCCTTTCTGAGGAGCTTGGCTATTTGACAGGACACGAGAGCAGAACAATGCTCGATGCCCATATAGCTTCTGTTCTAACTCTTGCTGAACCTTTCTTGGACTCAGCTCCAGAGGTGTATGACTTCAGGGACCAAACCATCACAGAGCGGGTCAAGGCCCAGATACCTGTCATGCTTAGGGAACGTCTGGCACCTCCTCCGGAGGAGACATATAGCTTGCATAGGAAACTCAGTGGTGCTTTCCTCCTCTGTGCTCGTCTTGGTAGCAAAGTGAGGTGCCGAGATCTATTTGAGAAGAGCTTGCACAAGGGTGGGTTTCTGGAGAAGGTCGCATGAAACTATGCAAGCCTTTGTATGATATGTGTCGGGTCTGTACTATATATGAGAGACGACAACCATTGTAAAAGCGCCACTCATGTCGGATAGTTACTGTATAATAGATAGACTACTATAGAGCCCAGGTGGGCAACTGTCTAACTTTGGGGTATCTCAATCTCGTTTTCTCATCTCTCCTCGGCTCCTCTTCGTGCAAAAGGCATCTCCTTCTTCTCCTTGGCGGCGACCTTCTTCCGCTTCTTCTCGATAGCCTTCTCGACCTGTTTCTCGCTCATATTCGCAAATTGATCCAAGAGCAGTCTCTTCTTCTGCTCAGACTTTTTCAGGTAGAACGGCTTCTTGCCTTGTTTCACCAGCTCCTTCTCCTGTTTCCTGTGCTCTTCAATGACGGCACGCTCTCGTTCTTTCCTATCCTTTGCCTTCTTCTTTGACTCCATAGACATCAGTGCTCGTTGGAGCTCCTCTTTCTCGCGGGGCGTCTTTGCCTTTTTGACCGCTGCGCGTAGCTGCTTCATCTCATCATCCCGGTAGTCGTCGAGAAAGGCATATGCTTTTTGGGCCCTGGCTTCATCAAGTGGACCCGCGAGAGAGTCAAATCTCGGATCCCTGTACTCAATCTTCTTCACAGGAAGAATTTCTCTCCTTCGAGAGACCTGGCGTTTGCTGGTCATTTCCATTGGTGCATGCTTGCTCGAACGTTGCACATGTGCAGGAACTTTGCTGCCTTTCTGGAAGGGCGCTTCGCCGCCCAGAGGATTATCTGACTCGGGGCGATCATCCGTATCACTGCCCTTACGGCGCCTCGAAGCTGGTAAGGCAGCCTGAGCTTTTGCCAAGGCTCCAAATGACACCTGAGATGCATCGATCCCTTCAGTTTCTTCATGAGACGACTCATCATTGTCCTGCATTTTAATGAGCAAGGTACATATGGTAAAGGGCATATCAAACTTACCGAACCGTCCTCTGAGTCAGTAGGGACGAAACCTTCCTCTACCTCGTGTCGGTCCTCATGATCAAACTCGCTGGGGCTCTCATCAATCTCGTCCAAGTCTGGTTCTGGCTCTGCTCGTGCACGCACTCTCCGCTCGAGGCCCAAGGCGCCCGCCTTTCTCTTCCTTGAATCCATGGCTTTTTGATGTTCAAATGGTGATATGCCGTGGGATAGGACTATATTTCCAGCGTTTTCATAGAAACTATGTGATTCTGAGTGGTGAGTTGAGACATGGAGAACCAAGAAGTAGTGAATTATGCATATTGCTGGTCGAAAATTTTAGCGGTAGAGGTGTGGCGGTGCGCCACTCCATGTCCTTCAAGTTACTCAAAGGTGTATTGTCAAGACTGAAACAAACCACGACCATATTCCTGTAATGTACGCTTTGGAGGCCCTTTCTATCAATAGAGTACTACCAGCTACTACAATCTAATTTGGTAAATTTATAACATAGTGCTGCATGGTGAGAGCTGACACTTCCATCGCGTCAGTCTGTCTCAATTAGATATTTACCGTGCTGCATATCCCCCACAGATCGCTAAATAGGCAGGTGGGCCACGCTAGAGAACACTCCTTATCGATTGCTGTCGCAAAACCGCCTGGCTGCTGTCTGCTTCTTCTACGACTGGATTATACTCACTTCGTGATCGCCCTTCTACCAATCACTCATATCCTGTCACTCCTTTTGTTTGGTCAAGACTATTGGTCTCATCCCTCATTTCAGACTCTATCTGAGTTTACTCACACCCGAAGACAACCCGGAGAGGACTTTGCCCTGAAATCAGCCGTCTGCGTCCTGATAAAATCAACATTCAGTTTCATCAACAGGACAAGCTACACAGTCACACGAGGCCGCCGAGTAGCTGCCTGATGCTCGATACATCCTGTTGCCTGATGATAGAGGTCTTCCACTTGAGAAATTTCTCCCGCAGAGTGAATAGCTGGCACTATTCTTCTCGCCTTCATATATATCCCTTTCTACCAAATTCGTACTTTCATACTCAGACCTGCCTATTCAAGCCGCCCGGTCAGAAAGCTTCAGTTCCGCAACAACAGTTACAAATCTTGAGCAGCAACGGTATATACCGCTCAAAGGAGAAGCAATCACATATAAGCGCCATGAATGCGCCGATAATACCACAAGAGCCACCGTTTCAAGGTGGCGTCAAAGGCACCGTCACAGACAGAGAGGCAAGACTTCGTCGCCGCAATAAACCCAGCGAAGCACGAGACGAGAAAGTGCCCCCGAGCGCAAAGTCAGGCGGTATACCGGAGCCTTCACCGGAATACCGACTGCGCGCCTCCTTCGCCCCGATCCGGCTGCCCAAGCCGCGGCCGATCCTCGTGGTGATCGACCTCAACGGCACGATGGTGTACCGGCCGATGAAGCGCAACCCGACGCACATCGTGGCGCGGCCGCACGCCAAGCGCTTCATGCAGTACTGCATCGACACCTTCTGGGTGGTCGTGTGGAGCAGCGCGCGCCTGCAGAACGTCGACAACATGTGCCGCCAGCTGCTGTCGCCGCAGCAGCTCGCGCGCATCGTCGCCGTCTGGGGCCGCGAGCACTTCGGCCTGGCGCCCGACGACTTCAGCCGCCGCGTGCAGTGCTACAAGCGCCTGACCAGCCTGTGGGCCGACCCCGTGGTCGCCGCCTCGCACCCGGACTTTCGGGGAGGCCAGCGTTGGAACCAGGGCAACACGGTCCTCATTGACGACTCGGTCGAGAAGGCGCGCAGCGAGCCGCACAACCTCGTTGCGATACCCGAGTTCCTGGGGGACGTGAATGAGAGGCCGGAGATTTTGCCGTTGGTCCACGACTATCTCAACGAGCTGGCGCATCAGTCGGATCTCAGTACCTTTATGCGGACCGCTCCGTTCCTTCTGGAAAGAGCAGTATAGGATATTGAGTCCCATGGCATATGCGAGGGGGCCTCCTCGCCATAATACCCTTACAGAGGCCGTGTAGCATATTACGAGTTATGAAACAGAGCGCGGTTACGGTTGTAATCATAATGTGGGATGGGCATGCGCTGTCACAACATACAAATCACAATGTATAAGGAGGCACAGGACGAACACAGAGGCACGGTTCATTAACCTCGAAGGGCCTTATCTATTCGAAGAACTACCTGTAGCCCAGATGACCTACATCTGACGAACAGAAGACCAGAAGCCGAGAGGCCTACCTAGACTTCATGTAATACCCATTCATTCGTGACGCGTGACAGACAGCTAAACGTGATAACACCCCTTCCGTACGTACACCAGTTGCCAAGTCTCGTTTATTTGAAGACCTTGCCATCGGCATGAGGGTACTCCTTGCCGTTGACAATGACGGGCTTCTCCCAGGTCCACTGGTCGTTGACGTACTCCTTGTCCTCGGGCTTGGAGGGGTCGAGCTTCTCGAAGTCGTAGCTCTCGTAGTCGGGAGCGACCTCGAAGACGGGCTTGTAGTCATCGCCACGGATGACGAAAGCACCCTCAATGACGGAGTCATTGGTCTGGCCGTAGACGGAGGCACATCCGAAGAGGTACTTGCGGGATCCCTCCAGACGGGTGTTGAAGCCGCCAATCAGGTTGTTGGACATGAAAGTCAGAGTAAGCTCATCGTTGTACTTGTACTTGACTCTCCACAGAGTGTACTCGTCCAACTTGATGTTCTCCCAGAACCACTTCAGGGCTTCAGGGGTATCGTGGTTGGAGTAGTAGCGCTTCCACTCATCGAGAGGGAAGGTGGCTCTGGGCAGGGCCTCAAGCGGGTGCTTGGGCTTGGGAGCAGCAGCGGGCTCCTCCTCCTCCTCGGCAGCCGGCTTGGGCTTGGGGGCAGCCTTGGGAGCGGCCTCCTTCTTGGGCTGCTCGGGCTTCTTGGGAGCGACGTTGGTCAGCTTGGGGGCGTCGAGCAGCTCGAACTTGGCGGCGACGGCGGAGTAGATGGGCTGGTTGTAGACGGTCTCGTACCACCGGGCAACGTTGGGGTGGGCAGTGCGCCACTCCTTGCCGAAGAAGTACTGGAAGCCGCGGGCAATGATGCCAACGCTGAAGAGATCGGCAAGGGTGATGCGCTCGCCGACGAGGAAGGTGTTGTAGAGGAGGTGCTCCTCAACAACGGAGATGGCCTTCAGAGCCTTCTGGGAAGCCTCCTCGACACTCTTCTTGTTGTAGGGCTCCTTGCCCAGGAGAGGGCTGTACCAAGAGCCGAGGTTAGGGAGGACCTCGCTGTTGAAGAAGGACATCCACTTGAGGATGGAAGCATAGCTGACTTCGTTAGTGGATTGACTTTCGCAAACAGTCAGGCGCAACTTACTCCTGCTTGGTCTTACCCAGGAGGGTAGTCTTCTCGTTCTGGGAGGTGACTATATCAGGTTAGCATGAGCCATCAAATGAAGCCCGATGCAAAACAACAATGTAGCGCAGAAAGAGTCAGATGTTAGAATGAATCAACATGTTGTGATTTAGACAGGGATAACTGTTAAATGAAAAATCTATATCATCACGGTGGGATGGGATTGTATGGCGAGGCAGCGCAGATCGAGATTCACATACTGTAGATGGCGATGGCAATGCACTCAGAGAGGACATAGCCGTCAGCGCCAACGAAGGTCGGGACCTTGCCGAGCTTGTTCTGCTTCAGGTACTCAGCGGTGGGCTTCTTGGTGTCGGTGTCGACGATGTCGAGCTTGACGTCGTTGGCCTTGGCGACAGCCAGAATGCCCGTGGAGCGAGGGTTAGCCTGGAGGACGCGAATGTGAGCCTGACTGCCGGAAAATTAAGATCTTGCGTCGAATTATTGTGTAACATACCTCGTAGGTGTAGAGCTTTCCGAAAGACATCTTGTCGACGATTTGCTCGGTGTTGACTGAGTTGTGTTGTGAGGCAAATCGAGGGGAAGTTCAGCGGTCCAGCCTGAAATAAAAATTTTGGGGACAAGGTGGAAGTTCTGTGGTGGGGCATGAGGGGCTGGGCCAGCTGTGACTGAGGCGGTGTGGCTGGTGAAATCAATCTGCGCTAATAGCTCAGTACTTTTATCAATCGGGCATGCACATATTACCGTTAAGTATCTTATTAATGCAGACCTCCAAAGTCGGAATAACTTGCTGTCCCGACCAAAGCTCGGGCCAGACAGGAGCATCGAAATCTTTCCCACTCGAGTTGCTAGTCGTAAGAGCGCTCGATCGACGGTGATACCGCGACAGAGGCCAAAGGGGTCGGAGAAGGCAAATATGGCATCGATACGGCCTGCCTTTTCTCAATTGAGCGGCCAGTCCCTCAAGCCGCAATGGCGACAGCTTCGACAGCAGCTACAAGCATTAAAGATCAGTCCTAGTTTGACGGGGAGGAGGACAGTGTCAACAGAGAGCTCGAGATCGAACGAGCTGGTGCCGGCAGACAAATCGGTCGAAGATCTAGGCCAGGTGGTACCACTTGCTAGACATGCGCGACCGCTGCCCGTGTCGCCGTCATACTTCTCGCGCCAGACGCGGTTCTACGATGCCTACACCCAGCTTCAGGCCCTCAACAGGAAGTATGGGCATCTCCCACCTGCACCACCCGGATTGCTCGAGAGAGTGGCTTGGAAGCCGCTCAACGACTTCAGGTTGTCAGTGGGCGAGCAAGTGAAGGCGACCGAGTTCAAGAAGTGCATGGACATCGTCAAGAGGCTCAGCAGCATTCACCCGTCGCTTTCGACACCCGCGATTACGGAGGCAGTTCAGATTTTCAAGCGAGACATCAACCCATACAGCAACATGACAAAGCCCATCCCCATTGACAAGTTTGGACGGGCCCTTGGCGTTGGCCGCAGGAAGTCATCGGTGGCTCGTGCCTGGGTCGTCGAGGGCACAGGAGAGGTGCTCATCAATGGGAAGTCTCTTGCGGACGCCTTTGGACGAGTGCATGATCGGGAGAGTGCCATTTTTGCTCTACGGTCTACGGAGAGGATGGACAAGTACAATGTCTGGGCTTTGGTTGAGGGCGGTGGAACGACCGGTCAGGCAGAAGCTCTCACTCTGGCCGTGGCTAAGGCGCTGATGGCACATGAGCCAGCATTGAAGCCGGCACTACGACGAGGTAAGCATTGCTCAATAATGAATTCGTGTCCATTCGAAATTGCTAACTCCTTCATTTCAGCGGGTTGCGTCACCCGAGACCCGAGAAGAGTCGAGAGGAAGAAGGCTGGTCACCTCAAGGCCAGAAAGAGCCCTACTTGGGTCAAGAGATAAAGGGGGAAATCCAAAGGGACAAGGAGCCCAGCATATTCATCGTAAACATGATGATGTCGTAGATGGTTGTCGGGCACTTGTGTTTCGCGCATGGAGATCTCGCCCTTCATCTATGAATCCTCGTATTATCGTATGTAAGTCTGTGGGGAGTGTAATTATTGTATTGTTGTATCTGTAGCATACCTAGCGACGCAATTAAAAGAAGCTTGCAAGCACTCTTGCTAGTCAGCAGGCACTTTTGGAAGTGATGTTCTCAAGGTTTTCCTATTTTGTCTTGATGGAACCATCCATACCTAGCTCCATTTCGGCATATGAAATGATAGCGCTGGAGTGCCCTGGTCGGAAATACCGTCAACCCCAGGAGCCATCGCCCCATCATCTAAAAGGCAGCCTACACTATTGCAGATTGTATTTAGACGGGGAAAACAATGGCGTTGCACTCGATCCATCCTAGTCGGGCAGGGAATGCACATCTCCCAGTCTTTTCCTTAATCTGCCGCGGAACGCCGGAATGCGCATAGGGCTGCAAGTCGCCCAGTAGGTTCGTGGGCACAGCTCACTCCACTTGACTGACACTTGCAGGGAAGTGGATTGTTTGCAGTTTGCATAACGGGCGTCGTGGAAGCTCTTACATGTTTTCGATTCTGTGAACGTATCAGAACCGTCCAAACTGCTGTTTGACTCCTGACAACCGATAAAAAAAACTAGAGACGTCATGTCTCCAGTTTGAGATTTGAGATGCCACAGAACAGTGGGATCGTTCTCTGCAAGAACGCGTTTCAATTTTAATTGCTGCCAAAGGGTGACGACAGTGGGAGAAGCACGGACTGGAAAGTGGTGGCTGAAGCCGGTTGTTACAGGAAGCTTTACCATGCTTCCATCGCTGCATCTAGAAGGAATTCTAGTTTGTTTCAGAGTCCTCGCTCGGCGGAATTGGCTCATTACAGCGACCGCTATTATTGGCCACCCGTTGAGAGGTCGGGGCACATTTGTAATGACACTTGATTGAGGTTGACAACTCCTTGCGTCTTAGACTTCTAGTTGCCTTTCCGCTTCAATGCAGGCCTGATACTTCAAACATCCTTAGGCCCGGAGCGGCTTGCGGAGTTGATAACCTGGAATGGAGAGTTTTGCTCAATACAACCCCCATAGAAGCCATAGAACGCACCGCCTTCCCTGGTTTGCTTACACGGAAGTTTACAAGCCCGCACAGCCGGTGTGTTAGAGCCAAGTGATGGATGGCCACAACACCCATAGGGGCAGCTCGGGGGCCGGAGAACGGCCGCGGCAGTCTTTATGGAAGGTGGGAGGATTCGAGGTAGCGATGTACGAGCTTGTGAAGGAGACCGAACAGGATGATCCGCTGGTACTAAAAACGGAAACAACCATTTCCCATAATGCATACCCCTTGGGGCGGCAGTGAGATCCCCGGCAACCTTAATCGTAAAGCGTTCAAGGTGTTGGGTGGATTAGATAAGCGCTCGAATCTGCTTGGTTTTGGGGCAATATTAAAGTGATTATTGAAAACAGCCCTGGGTCTATTGGCGACATCAAACCTTCCGAGCCGGGCGTCGCTTGGCCCAGCAAGTTTTTGGGAGGCTCACGTAAGGTGGGAGAAGTTAGCATCCAAAAGGAGTGCAGCAAAGGTCTGTGGGGAACGGCGCGCCTCGTTCGGTGATCGGCAATGCATACATGTATTGGGCCGCCCTGCTGAGGCTGAGATCGGCGAACAGGTTGTCAAAGATTGATTCGTCCTCGGGGGATTTTCTATTTTGACGGATCGATCACATACATGTGCGTGCGTAGAGTACCTAACGTACGCTCACGAAAAGGGCGACATTTAGGTCTTGGCGACTGCCGACTGGTCGTCTGGGCGGGAGTTCCTGCGTGCGGCAGCTCGGGCTGCATTGCTTGCAAGAACAGGCACACGTGTGGCTCACAGGGTTTCGGTGGCCAAGGTGGCTTCGATTATCGCAGCTCCAGCTCGAACACGAGAGCGAATCTCCGCACCATGGTTTCTCGCTAGCCAGGGACTAGTCGTTGATGGCTTCTCGAACGCGCTGGCGAATCGTCTCGTCTGCTGCGACAATCAGCGGAGCCGACTAGCGATATAGGCCAGGAACAGAGACACGAGTCGTCACGCAGCTTTCGTGACCGAATGAGACCCACGCGCTATCAGCTGGGCGAGCTAACAATCGACGACAGATAGATGACTTTGCTTGCTAGGTACGAATGTAGGTAAGCTCTTGCTAAGCCGGTGGTGAACTTTTGGGAATGGGGAGAAGCTACCCACCCTACCCTCTCGCTACTTTGCCAGACAAAGTCGGGACAACGCGTACTACTGCGGTGCCGTGCAGCAACATGCAGAAGTAGCATGGCAGCTTGGCGTTCTTCAATGCGCTTACGGTCGCGTCTCCGTCTCGTCTGGGAGTCGCATTCGCATGGCGGGCTTATTCACCATGGATCTGTGCCAGGTCGTGATTTATGCTCTCCCAAGCAAGACTTGAGCAAAAGGGTTGTCTCTCCCTCTCTCTCCTCTCAGGTCCACGGCTGCGGTAGAGGATATGCATGCTTTGTCTGCCTACCTGCCTGGATGCGTGCGCACGGCAGTAGAGTACTTCAGGTAGGTAGGTAGTATGGAAGGACGAGCAAGGAAAAGCCGAAGAATGGCGTGAGTTGACGAAGTTTGGTACACTCGGTACTCAAAAAAGCGCCCCCGCTCGCCGGTCTCTCCTTCCTGTCAGGGGCAATTGATCCAGGAGCTGGCTGCTCGGTGCAATGAGTAGGTCTGCCAGTCCCAGTCCCAGTGCCACTGTCACTGTCACTGTCACTGTCAGTGCAGCGGAGGCGGAGGAACTGGGTACGTAGCTAAAGTGTGCAGCAAGTGATTCCTTGAAGGCATTGAATGGAAATGCTTGACAAGCTCAACAACGTCTTCCAGTCTTCAATCCGAGTAGGTACCCAGCAGGGCGAGTAGAGCTACTTCCAGTTAGACTGGCAGCCATCGACCCATTGGCTGACAGGCTGCAGAATAGCGCAGCTTTACATGCGAGTCAGCGTGGTGAAACAGGGAAGATCCACGGTGATCAGGTACAGATACATGGCTCGCTCGGCAAATCGACACGGGCCTGGAGAGCGGCGGCAGCTGATTCGCTGGGGAGCAGGGGACTACTGTGTAGTAGGGAAACCAGCGCCCTGGTCGGGGCCCACGCAGCCTGAAAAGCCCCCGGTGGACGCCCCCCCAGGCGACCCAGCATCAAACCCCTGCTCCTCTGGCCCCAGCAGCGTCCCAAACGTACAGGGATCACCTCACAGCCCTGGGGCTTTCTTTCTTGACGACATCCTTCCTCAGTGCCTTGAAGTGGCCCCCCTGGCCCCCCTGCTCGGGACACACAACACAACTCAACCGCTGCTCAACTGAACGACATGGTTCAAGGTTCCAACTTCACTCAACAGCATCTCCCCCCTTCATAACTAACTGCTCATACCGGGCTAATTCTCCGCAGTACTTGTCCCTCGCACGTGTCCTCGCCCTACCGCCGCGTACCCTGCGCTGCTGTTTGAGGTAAATTCCGTTCCAGGCGCAAGCAGGAAGGGCGAGCCCAAGGGACAGAATTTTCTCAACGCTCAGACAGGGAGCTGCTTAAGGCTTGGACGGATGGTTGGGCATCGACGATCGAAAGACCGCGTCCTGTCATGGGCTATTCATGTATGGATGTGTGGCTCAATCAATCAATTCCTCAATATTCTCCCGAGCTTCCCTGCGTCTAAAGGCAATGGGAGCACCCGTAATATTTCGGCAATGCTCACGCGCGTCACCGCCTAGGTCGACCAGAGGAGCGAGCAGCCATCCATCCATCTCAATCAATCATTCACTAGCCATTGAGACTGGTTGACAGGCTCTCAAGAGGTGCTTCCTCGGATGCCCTGCCTTGGCACCAATGGTTCTGGCCCGCCTCTGGTGCCCTGTCACAGGCTCCCAGTCTCTCATTCGTGCCTATTCCTGCTTTATATTTTCTTCTTTCCGAATCCGTAGCGGCAGGCCATGAAACACTGGATACCTGCTGTTGGTTTCTTTTCCTTTCCGAACAAAAGAATGAAGACGGTGTGTGATGAGTTGGTTTATGCTGCTGCGATTCCAAATTCATCGGCTATTTTCGCATCGGAGGTGATAGACGAGCTAGCTCGAACAACTCAAGCACCGGACTGGCAAGCTAAGACGGGGTGCAGTAGTTTCGTAGCTCTAGTCTAGGCTGCCTCTGCGACTGCGAGGGGCAGGTCACTACTGCATACTTTAGGTACGCAGTAGTAAGAATGACGACCGTTGGAGATGACGGAGGGACATGCGCTGGATGAGACTTAAGAGACATTAATTAAGTCAGGGTTGGCACAGGATCACGGACTTGACCCAACGGGGCAACCGACTAAGACAAGCGCCTGGCACCAAAGCTGGACTAAACGTCAAATCCTCCAACCCGCCTCGCTGGGTGAGCTTCCGGCGAGCGGGCCCGGTCGACTGACCCTGCTGGTTGCTTTGCTGCTGCTTTGCTGCGGCGTCATCCCTATATTGCAGGCTTCGCTGTTATATTTGATCTGACATGGCACTGGAGTAGGTAGGTAGATACTGTAGATAGATAGATAGATAAGAAAGAAGCCTTGGAGGGTCAGCCCCGGCGAAACACCTTTCCTGAGGCGGGCGGGAAGAGGACAACGAATCAGGTAATCGGCATAGGATACAAGTGGTATAGACCCATGGACTGGACTGAAATGGAAGACGGGGTGATGATGCTTGAAAGAGAACGAACGAAAGAGTGTAGAACGGTAGGTAGAAGAAGGCATGTGCGATGCTTTCCGAGGTCTACAGGTATTTTCTCTCCTTAATCATGATGCTGGCAGCAATTGTACCTTCCCCTAGGAAGCTGTTTGCACTGATACCGACCGTCGTCCCTTCCCTAATAAATGACCGAGTGAGGGATTGAATCGGCAGTACCTACCCTACC